AAAAAAAAAAATACACCAAAAGTGTGGAAGTGGTTTTGCACTGGGTAATGGATAGATGTAAAGACTTTTCAGGTACATTGTGGTAAAAGAGACCTTAATGGTTATTCTGGGGAGGGCTCAGGAGAAGGGGGACGCTACAGGGACCACCTCAATCTTCTTAGAGATTACGTAGTGGTTATGAAGAGGTCATTGATAGAAACACGGGCTGTAAAGCTCATTCTGATGAAGTCTTACAAAAATGAGAAAAAATAGTTTGGAAACTTGAGGAAATATCCTCACCAACAAGCAGATTACCCTGAGCAAGGCCCTCTGTGCTGTCACAGCAGGTGCTTCCTCCCAGGGCTCCCCAAGGGACAGAGCCAACCTCCCTCCCCCTCAGACTGCACTGTGAGCAGAGCCCCAGCCCAGGGCTCAGGGAAGAGCTGGGCAGTCACTGGATGGACACACATTTGAACGAAAAGCCCCTCCTGTGGCAGAGGGTGGGAAGAAAGGGGTTCTGGGGCAGCCTAGTCATGTGGGGACCAGGGGTTGTGCCCACCATGGCCTGGACTCCTCTTGTCTTCATGCTCCTCTCTCACTGCACAGGTAGGGACAGGCTGTGGGAATCAGGAGCAGCTCCCATTCTGCTTCTTGCCAATTGCCCCAAGAAACATCACTCTGGTCCCATTACCCCTACGCTTCTCTATCTGCAGATTCCATTTACAGCCTGTGATGATCAGCCTCACTCCCTCTCTGCATCTCCTGGAGCAACTGCCAGACTCACCTGCACCCTGAGCAGTGGCTTCAGTTGGTCACTATGGGATACAGTGGTACCCCAGAAGCCAGGGAGCCCTCCCTGCTATTTCCTGAGCTATGACTCAGACTCAGTTAAACACCAGGGCTCTGGAGTTCCCAGCAACTTCTCCGGATGCAAAGATGCCTCAGTCAGGGCAGGATGAGGAGCCAGTTAGGTTCCTGAGAGGATAGAGGTTCCATGGACCTAGCAAAGCCCGCTCTTGCCACTGTCCCCAGTGAAGCCTGATGGGGGTCAACGCCACATGACATTGTGATGTCTGCATTTGAAGGTGGTTTCCAAGGAGAAAAATTGTTCTGAGTACTGTTTCTTGACGGGGCCATGCAGGCAACACAACTTGGTAAGGATGCTGCCTCCCATTCTAAGGCAAGGCCTGGACTGGGAAGAAACTGAGGCAAGGCCCAGTTTACGAGCTCTCCCTTGTGTCCTTGAACTGGCCGGTATTCAATTTCTCTGCCATGAGTTTTACTGTTATTACTGTACCGTGTAAGGGTAAAACATCACCCCCAACCATTGCAATAAAGCCAATTAGTGATCTTGTAGGAATGTGGTTCCCTAAGACTGACAGGAGGATCAGGAAGTTTAAGACTCCCCCACCTGTCTGTTTTTAAGCCAAAATTAACATATAGATTAAGTTAGTATAAACCAAATTAGCATTAGAAGCATATGTAGACTGAGTTAGTTTAAGGTTAGTTTTACTTACATACCCCTTGTTAAAGCTACAGGCCAAAGTTAACTCACACTAGCAAAGTCAGCACATTCACCACATAACAGAGACTCAGAGATAAAACAAAAGAACTCACTATTGACAGACTCAACAAACAAAATGCAGGAACCCACAGATTTATTAGAGGAAAAAGCCTGGATGGGACAACAGAATAAACAAAGCTGAGGGCTCCACAGAAAGATTAACCATTTTAGCTGGGAGTTCTTATCTAAAGCAACAGGTAGCTTTCAACTACAAAGAGTTTCTCATCTATGTGCTGTGGACTATGAAAAACTGCTAATAAAACATCCTGTGTTGTCTCCAGAGCTACAAAATCATCTTCCTTTCCCATATAAGATCATAGACTCATCCTCTATTGTTGTAATGTATAGATAGTCCATATATTAACTGTGTCTTTACTTAACAAGACAAGATTTCCATCTAAGTCATTGTAACCAGCAACGTTATCGCCCTGGCCCGGGACTGAAGTTGTCAAACATCCTGCAAGCCCCCTCTTCAAAAGACTCTTCCCAGTAATCAAAATCCAAGAAAAAAATACAGCAGACAAATGGACTTCCTCATCCTAAAAACTGTAATTGACTTTACCTGAGCTAACAAGACAAACAGCATGTTTTATAATTATTACTTCCATGCTTTGTATACCCTGTTCCTTAGAATAAATCTTTTACTGCCCCTCACCCATTTACTTACATATATCACATTTTCAATAAAAAGGCACAATAATTCCTAGCAGTTGTCACTCCTCAGAGAGCGATCTTTGGGAGTGTCCGGCTAAGGACGTACATAAAAAGCATCGAGGCCTTAGTCTTCCTTTCCAGCGCCGCCTCCGTCGAGATAACCCACCCACGCCGAGGCTGGACCCCGGCAATATGCTAGGTGCTGAGATGCTGTTTACAGATAAAGAAGTTATACTTGTCACTTAGCTACTCCCCAAGCATATTTTGAGATAAGCCAACTTTATAAATAAGGTCTATTAGAATTCATCACCTCTAAAATGTTTGTGAGTGCAGCACCTTAACCACTACATTACCTATTGGCCCCTCTCATTGCTTCTTAAAAAAATCATAGTTTTATTGTTGCTTTCTTTTTAAACCTGGAACTGAAAGATGAGAACTGAGATTTTTTGTTGTTCAATTTAATTGCTGGAGGGTACATGCACTTGTGAAAGAGGGAGAAAGAGACAGAGAGAGAATCCCTCCATTGGGGTGTAGTCCATCACAGTCTTTTTTTCTCCATCCCTCCTTCCAGTAAGGATTTTAGGCACACACACACACACACACACACACACACACACACACACACGTGCCTGGTGGTGTTTTTTAAGCCACTGGGGGTGGGATTGAACCATGCTGTTGGCTATGTGGGATACAGCCCCTTAACCACTGAGCTACAGGGCTGGCCTAGGAATTAGGATTTCTCATTTGTAGTTGGTATACCTCTCATTCAATCTACTTTACTTTCTAAAATCTAAGCACAGTTCAACTGGGCTGACTGGGTAGCCCATACAATAAGACTATTTAAGTCCAGCCAAAGCTCTTGATTCCTAGACGAACTTACTGCTCCAACTCCAGGCTCTCCAGGAGATCAGAGACATTTAACTATAAGCTTTTGGCACAGCTCATTTCACTACTGAAGTCTCCTCATCTGGCCCTGCCATCCTTTACTGCACCCTTCCACGGTCAGCACTCTGCTCCCAGAGCAAACCACTTTTGGCTTCTTTTGTTTAGATCAGACATGAATTTTCATTTTCCTATCAACCAGTCTCCTTTTTGCTTCCAGCTTTCTCTGCCAAGCATGCCTTCTTTGGTAAGCAATGCTGTCTTTGTCCTCATCTGTTCTGTTTGGATTTCTTATCTTAGTTTGACCAAGTACCTTCTAAAACCTTCACTCAAACTAGTTAACTTAGCACTCAATCACTTAGCTAGGTTCAGGTCTGGGAGAGAATCCATTTCAAAGAAACTGCCTGACATCTCCTGACCAACAACGCAGAGCCATGACTCTCTTTAGTCTACTCTGTACATGCTCCCACCAGTCAGAGGTCATGACTGTGTTGTTTTCTTGCATTTTTCCTCTTCTTCTATGTATATATCCATACAGAAAGAGATAGAGACATATATGTGTAGGTTGTTTTTTGCTGTTGTTTTTTTTTAATAAAAGTTAAATTATTGCAGGACCAGCAGATGGCATAATGGTTATGTTGCTGGACTCCCACATGGCCAATCATAGTTCAAGTCCCAGACCCGGCAACTTGAAACTCATGCCAGGCATGTGTGCATGCATACCCAAAATCCTGAGAGGAGAATGGAGGAGAAGGGATTGCAACCTCACCCTGGGGGTGTGTGGATTTCTCACTTTCTGTCTCTCTGTCTCTCCGGCAAGTGCATGCGCCCTATAGTAAAAATCTCCCTCTCAAAAAAAAAAATAATAATAATAAATAAAAAAATAAAAAATAAAAATAAAAAGTTAAATTATTGGGTTGTTGAGAAAGTCCATGATATGTTTTTTATGCAAAAATGGGTCGTGGGCTGGTTGTACATCCTTGGCAAAGTCACTTCCCTGTTTTAATTTTATGGGGGGGAGGGATTTAAAAACATTTTTTATAGTGTGTTGTTTTTATTAAGTTGGTACACCAGAAGGTGTGATAGTAAATGCAGTGGGATCACTTCCCTTTTTTTAACCTCAGCTTCCTCACGTAAAAAGGAATGAGATTGGACTTAACTATCTTCATGGTCTCTTTTATCTCTGACTACCTCGGCATTTCTCACTATTTCCCAACTAAGTCCTACATTGCTTTTGACCAAGTTATTTCTGACTGATGTCACTCCAGTACCTGAGTCCTTCAACACTCCCTGAGAGCATATATTAATTTTTTGTAAAGCAGCATATGGTTGCTTTCTGGAGCTTCCAGAAACAAAGTTCATCTTTGTGATTGACTCATTTGTTCAGCAACCAGTCATCGAATGTGTGCCCTGCAGCTAGCACATGATTTAGTCTAGCTTCTCTCATCCCACCCTTGTTTAGCTCTCAGTCTACAGAGATGGATACAGACTGTGTGAGAGAAGGGAATGCCAGGAAGGACCAGTCCAGGGGCTAGAGAGAAGTCACTGGTCAGGGACTGGAGACCTCAGAGAGCAACTGCATCTCTAGAACTTGAGATCAGCATCTGCTGTGGGTATGAGGCCTGGCCAAGTGCTGGGGACAAGAGTCCATTCAAAGACGTGCAAGCCTCAACCTTCCTTCTCCAGGAAATTAGAATCTAGAGTGTGAGATACAGAAACTATCATACAGGCTAAGTGAGATGAAGGCTAGGAGAATGGGATAATTATGCATGTGCTCTGCTTTCATTCATGCCATTAGCTCCACACTTATTAAAAATATCTTTCCCTGCTTTGTCATCTTTCCAAACCTTCTTTAAGTTACTTTACATCTTACGTTTGGGAGACTCACCCGACTGATACACTTTTAGGGAATGGGCGTGCTACAGTCCCTTCTCCTCCATTTCTCTGTCCTGTCAAGATTTGGGGGCATGTGTGCATGTGCACACAGTGTGTTTCTCAAGCTGCTGGATCCAGGATTTCAACCACAGTGTTGATCATGTGGGATCTGACTGCCTTAGCCATCCAGCCATGGAGCCAGCCAGTATTTTTTTTGCTCAAAATTTTTGACGAATTCATTCTTTGAGCTAGGAACCTTGTCACAATTATTATTATTTTTTTTTTCACAGTAAGGGCTCGGTTTGTTGCTGGCTTCATTAAAAGGGTTCAGTAAAGTCTTGCTATTGATATTTTAAGTTGTGTATTTTGATATGTAAGTGATTGTGTCTAGAGATAGGATATGTTCCCACCTTATAGCCCTTTATGAACAATGAAATACTGACTTATAAAAACGTTTTGATTCCAGGGAACCAGCAGTTAGTGTAATGGCTATGTCGCTGGACTCCCATGTAGTCGACCACAGTTCGTGTCCCGGACCCGGTGGCTTAAAACCCATGCCGGGCACGTGTGCGTGTGTGCCCAAGATCCCGAGAGGAGAATCACCCCTCTGGGGGGTGATTTCTCGCTTTCTGTCTCTCTGTCTCTCTCTGTCTGTCTGGCGAGCACTTGTGCCCTATAGTGTAAAACCTCTCAAAAAAAAAAAAAAAAAGTTTTGATTCCAGAAACATGAAGTTTGTAGCACAAAGGTCTTTTTTAAAAAATTAAGCCTTGTTATAAATTTCTAAATCAGTTACATTGTCCAATAAAAAACTCTTTTGTTTAACTGCTTATCAATCCAGTAACTTGTTGTATATTGTTGAGCAGGTCATTCCATTTATCTAGGTCTTAATTTCTTCATCTTCCAAGTGATTTCTAAATTTCCTTCAAACTTTTTAAGGTGTCTGATTCTAGGACATGAAAAATATGAACAATATTTTCCAAAACTAAATAAAGATGATGTTGAACAGTTTAATTATCTATGACTAATCGGTCTTGCTCCTATTAAGCATTATTAACACCTTGTTTTGGTCTTTCAGTCTTGTCTGAACATTTACCATTGACTCCTGAATCACTTAAAATTTCCATCAATTCTGCACGTCAGTATTTGCATGTACAATGGACTGTCCGCAACCTTCTTTATCATCAGGAATTGAAAATGGTTTTTCAGATACAAATCAGTAGATTTAATTCATCCAATATCATTTGGGTGGTAAGTATATGCATATTTATTATTTTTTGCTCAATATTTAAAAATAATTCCTAAACTATGATTGGTCTTTTATAACTTAAAAAACAAATAAACAAACTCAATATAGAAAGATTTTTTTTTTTTTGGAGAGGTTTTTGCTATAGGGCGCGTGCGCTCGCCAGACAGACAGAGAGAGACAGAGAGACAGAAAGCGAGAAATCACCCCCCGGGGGAATGGCCACACCGCAATCCCTTCTCCTCCGTTCTCCTCTCGGAATCTTGGGCACGCACTCACACACCCCTAGCATGAGTTTTAAGCCACCGGGTCCGGGATGCGAACCGCAGTCGACTACGTGGGAGTCCAACGACATAGCTATTACGCTAACTGCTGGTCCCATAGAAAGATTTTTAACAAAACAGTTTTCCTCAACAATCACATTCCTGTGTATTTTGTTAAAAGAATTTGGGATAAGGTAACCTGACAACTTTGCTTTGGTAGGTGGGATAGAATGTGTTAAGAATGTGTTAAATTACTTTCTCAGTTCCTCTCTGTCCTCTAGGAAGACTGTCCTTGGGAGTACTGGATTCAAGAAATCCATGAAGGACAGCATTTTAGTTTTTCTCCTTTCTTTTCTTCTCTACTCACCAGAAACTTTCCTAAATAAACTGTGGTAATCTAGCAGCATTGTTCTTGCCAGTGTATCTTCCTGTCGGTTTCTTCTCTAGTCCTCTGCTGAGTTGTGAGAAAGAGCATGCCTTAGGTTCCAGGCAACAGAGGCTCTCCATGGCCCAGGTGGACGCTTACTGTGTCTTTCATTGTCTCACATATGAGTTCCCTACAAAGTAGTAAACTGAGAAAATTTCCAACCAGCTGGGATCACAGGCGTGCATACCCAATGTGTACAGGTCGACTGGGGAGCTGAGCCCATGATCTTCCATATGGATCCCACTTTGCTTTAGCAGTACGTTACCTCTGAGCCACCAAGCTGGCCCTGACTTCACTCTTTTTTGTCTTTGAATTATTTGGCATGTATTTCCCTCGTGTTGGTTCAAATACAGGTTGTACCTATCTGCTGCTTCCACATGCAGTGCATTGAAATATATTGGGAATATATCCATTATCATTTCTGGTCTGGGGAGCCCTAATAATACACATATAGTGTTCAGTCCTCTTCTTGGGTCATTTTCTCATTGAAGAATATTCCTGGAGGTAAGGAACACACAGGGCTGTGCTCCGGACCTCCTCTAGCTGAGTCGGCGTCCATTTTTCTCTCAGGCAGTGGAGGTCTGGGCACAGGGGTGCAGGACGATCGGTTCTTATAGTAGAGTTTAAAGGTCACTACTTACGAAGTCTTCAGGTCCTTTCTACATTCATCGTTGCATTTGAGCTCTGAGCAAAGGGCCTATTAAATCAAATTCTGACTCTGTCCATTTGAATTCATACCAGGCCTATAATCCTATCTCTCAAAGGACAGTTTCCCACAAAAGTGTTTAGAATTCTGATTTTAACAGCTTTTGAATGCTTATGTGCTGGTGCTCACTTCCCACCACGGGCATGCTTTCCCACCATCCCACCTCATACTGTGAAGTCTAATCTTTGTATTTTGATAGGTCCATTGATTGGGCCCAGAAAACACTAAGGTCATGAACTGTCCAATAAGAAGAAATTTGGGAGAAGTGCTAGAAGAATTGTGGAAAATTAGCATTTAGCACCAGTAGGAAAAATAACTTTAACCATTAACCAAGTGGACCTTATTCTGTATTTTTCTAAAAGATAGTTTATATCTGATATCATACAACAGAAAGTAATGTTAATTAGAGACCAGTTGGATCTTGTTCTATATTTTTCTAGAAGACAGTTTGTATTGGTTATCATATTAGTGAAAATAATTTAGCCAGATATCAAATGGATACCAGTTTTAAATTTTTCTTCTTTTAAAAAAGATTTATTTTTCATTTTATTTATTATCATTATTCTTCAGTTTTAACCAGAGAGAGACCACAGAGAGAAAGGGAGAGTGAGAAAGCAAGCCGCCAGGTTTGGGACTTGAGCTGTGGTCGGCCATGTAGGAGTCTAGCACCTCAACCACCACGCCATCTGCTGGCCCTGCATTTTTAAATTTTTCTAAAGAGCAGTTGTTCCTATCTGTTTCCATATGCTTTTCATGAAAGAGAGTCAGAGAGAGAGGGTTTCAACAGGGTCTGCAGTCTGTAATCCACCCCAGGCTCATCCGGCCCAGATCACAGACACACGCAATGTCCAGTGTGTGCAGGGAGACCTCAAGGCATGAATCCAGGACCTTTTCCATGGATCTAGCATGAGAGTGTTGCCTTACCAATGCAGTACCAGCTGGCTCCTCATATCTATTTTCATACTGCATTTGTGTAATAGTTCTCTTTGCAAGGTGAAGCACCTGGTGTAACCCACTAGAGTTGAACGTCTTTAGGAGTAGTTTTGCCTTGTCCATTATATTGTCCTTACAACATCTAACCCATTCTAACTACAGCAGAGGAGAAAACCACAGCATTGAGGAGAGTGTTGTGCCATTCAGGGTGACAGAGGCAGGTGGTTTCACCATTCTTCACCCTTGTACCTACATAGGGATGACAGACACATGCAGCCTCCTAGGCCTTTGGTGGCCATGTGTCCCACAGGGGAGCTGGTACCAAGAAAAGCCCTTGCCCGAATCTCTCATACGTGAAGTCGAGGAGAGATATCAGATCCTTGTTCAGTTATGGAAGAGAAAGCCAGCTGAGAGAGGCTGCCGAACGTAATCTCTCTTTCCTAGGGCAGTTCCCTAGGGAACCTTTGCAAGTCTCACTCATGCTGGGAAGGCCAGCTTTTAAACCCAGAGCTCCAGGTCACTGTGTTCCCAACAAGCCAGAGGAAAAGCTTCTCAGTCCAGATGTTTGCAGCTGGACCAGGTGCACCAAGCTGTTTCCTGGTTGGTGCTGGCCACTCAGACCTGCTGGCAGTTGCACTATGTTACCCTGCCTGGGCCAATGTTCTCCCAGCTGTTTGCATTATTATTTTGTCAATGGCAGAGGAAGAGAGTGGAGTAAAAGCCCAGCTTGGAAGGATGCCTAGAGTATGAATCAGTTTAGGGAGAGAGCTCTTGCCTCTGTAACAAATCCACAACTCCAGCTAGACGTCTGCATGAATATGTGTGCCAATTTCTTGGGACTCACTAATGTCTGCCAGGCCCAGAATGAGCTTGCACTTCAATGAATGAAAAGGGCCCAAAGACAATTCATTGCATTTATTAAAAAAAAAAAAAAAAAAAAAAAAAAAAAAAAAACCCTCAATTGATGTATTCAAGGAATTATCGCCTTCATTTAATTCATTTACAAGGCTTTAAAGACCATGAAGCACAAGCTGGGGTTAGACAGAACCCACACAATTAGTGTTTGAGAAGAATATAACACACTGCATATGAATGAATGGTTATATCACTCAATCCATGGTCTTAGCTTGTGGGCCCGGCAGGACTGCGCACTGCATGGGGATATCAGAGCTGAGCGCCCAGCAAGAGTGAGGAGATAAGCACCCCATAAGGACATTCTAGATGGGAGAGCTGCAGTGCATGTCACTGGCCAGGTGCTAGGAGGTTGGACTTTGGCTTGACTGTCTCCTGCACTTTGGACAAAGAGCTGTTTGAGCCAAAAGATAGAAGAGGATTGAGTCACTTTAGAAAAACTCTCTGCCAAGCCCCAGCAAGTGTGAGCAGAGAGCAGAGGCCTTGAGAGGGAGGGACTGGAGAACTTCCAGGCAAGAGGCTCGCTGCTGTTGTGAAGCAAGCACTTTGGCTTTGTGGGGGGAGGGGGTGGTGGTGGCAGGGGACGACATATGGGCAAGAACCAGACCACCCAGGGCCCTGGGGAGCATGCTCAGGCTTTGTTTCCTGTCCTGGGAGCATGGAGAAGGAGGGAATGGCAAGATCTGATGTGAAGTTTTTAGAAACGCAACCATCTGCACAGAGGTGAGCAGCTGGCAAACCAGGAAGTTGCAACGTGGTCCATATAAAGAGGGCTGTGCGGCTGGGTAGGGCAGAGGTGGGAAAAGCGGCTAAATTTGAGGGAGATGTGGGAGGTAAAATCCAGGCTGTGTTGCTGGCAGGCTAGAGAATCATTTGATATCGTTTATTTTATTTCTGGTATTTGTTTGTTGAATTAAAACACTGTTAAGAGGGAGCCAGCCGGTGGCATAGTGGTTAAGGTGCCAGACTCCCACATGGGCATTTACAGTTCAGTCCTGGACCTGGTTGCTTGAAAATCATGATGGGGCTTGTGTGCATGTGTGTCCAAAAATCCCAAGAGGAGGATAGAGGAGAAGGGATCGCAGCATGGCCATCTCCCCTAGGAGGATGATTTCTCTCTTCTCCTCTCTGTCTCTGTCTTTATCCGGTAAGCACACATATCCTATGGCAAGGACTTAAACACATGCACAGCATGCACACACAATTAGATTGAGAGTAAATTACTCCTGTTAAATAGTTTCATGGACCTGTGGTTTAAAATGTGCTTTGTGAGGTTGGGTGGTGAAACAGCAGGAAAACGGGATGCTGTGTGAGGCTGACACACATGGGAAGGCTTTGAGTCCTCACCCAGTGGTCTGCCTGAGTACACTGGACATGCATGTGCCCTTGGTCTGGGACTGGCTGAGGCTTGAGATGGATCACTGCCTCAGGAACCTGTTAGGGATGCTGTCTCTCTGTCTCTGTGTTTCTCTCACGTGGAAGAAATTCACTAACTTTAAAAAACACATATGTTGGTGGGCTAGCCCCATAGCCATGTAGGATTCAGCCCAGGAGACGTGAAATACATGCTAAACGCACTTGCATGTGTGCTCAAATCTCAAAAGGATGGATATATGTAAGAGAAAGGATTGTGGTGTGACCCCAACCCACTGGGGGGTTGTTTTCTCTGTCTCTGTTTTTCTCTCCATGGTGGACACACAGACACCCTCTGGGAATAAAAATATATAGATAACTATGTGTTTCATGATCTAGGAATAAAGTAATATGGTAAGCTAAAAGAAAATACAAATATTTTAAAAATCACATGAAGTAAAAAAAGAGATGCGCAATTAAAGGCTCCCTAAATGGTAAGGTGTCCCCACTCCAGGGCTGTGTATTGTTTGGGCATAGGTTCTGTTTAAGGTTGGTCACCTAACCTTGGGAAGGGGACATACATAAGCAGAAGAAAGCCTCAGAGTTGCCAGCTCCAAGTGGTATGTGACACTCGGTTACTCCAGCCTCCTCACTGAGAGCTTACTATCTGACTGAGAAACAAGGAGGCAGACTCATTTTCCCCTAGGCCATGCAAAGTGTTTGTAGTTTCCATCTCCTACTGTCAGAACAGAAAGCAGGAGTCTTGGGGCAGGTTCTCTGAGGAGGAGAATGAGTACATGGACAGGACAAATCCCCAATGCAGAAGGGAGTAAAGGGATAATAAACTAAAGACACGACCTGGTCAAACAGTAAGGAAACACTGAGGTGTGAAAAGCATGAGGCATATCCCAGAAGTGTTGGGTAAATCACTGCGACCAAAAATAAGATTCCAGCAAGGGAGACTTTGTTGGAGCCGGGTTATAGAGGGCCTTGAATGACATGGTAAGGTGAAAAGGAGCCATTGAAGCCTGTAGAGTTGAAGAATGGAAATACCACTGTCTAAGAAATAATCCTGAAAGACTGAGTTACAGTTCAACTTTGACAAGCTTCCTAGAGAAGACTGTAACATATTTCTATGTGATTGCCATTGCTGGGGGCTGAAACTTCTGACAGACAGAACTCAAGGGAGGGAGTGTAGTCCACGTGGCCACCATATCTGCAAAAAATAAGAGATTAAAGACCAGGGGAGACATGGAGAGCCATCTATTTACTTCTGGGGAACAGTGGAACTCCCTGGGTCCCATGAGGGATAGGCTTCCCTGTTAACCCAATCAAACTTGACTGAAAATGAATATTAAAAAACATCCATCAATCTTGCTTATTTTTGAAAAGGAGTACTGAATTAGTTCTCTAGGTTTTGAGAGTTTTCTTAGCGGAGCCTCTGTGACCAGTCTATAAATACTTCTGTCTCTGATTTGCTCCCCTCGAGACCTGAGTAGTTCTATTTTCTCTCCTACTTGCTGCACATGAGCCTCCGAAACTGAAGGACAATAAGAATCGGAGCTGGGTTTTTCAAAAGGAGGCTGTGGCTGGGCTGTTGTTGAGACATCAGTGCAAGAGAATTAACTGTTAGGAATGGACTTCACTTTTACCCATGGAGGAGTAACAACAGGGTCTTAGGTTTGTGTTTTGGATAAGTTAGGTCCAGCTACTTTCCAGGACAGGATGGCTATATGTTTATTTTTCTCTTTTTCTCATTTGCTTTTAGGGGAATTACAGCACCACTGTGAAGCAGAACCAAGTCCTACACTGGAGCTGGGAATCTGAGCTCCCTTTGGAATGTGCAACACACTTTTTAAGAATACGGAGTATGGTGGATGATGCCAGCTTCCCCAAGTCAACTATCTGGAGCAACTGGAGTTCATGGGAAAAAGTCGATGGTAAGAAGTGAGGTGTTTACAAGAGCGAAATGTTTAATACTTAATGTATTTTTATTTTCAGGGATCAATACTCAAAAAATGGAAGGTCCCTTAGAGGAACCCTAGGTAGCTATCGACATTATTTCCCTTTGGCCATATTGGAACTAAAAGGCACAGGCATGGAACTTCCTCCTAGGAGACAAGCATCTGAAGTTTTACCTCTGAACTTATTCATTGAGAAAATTATACAACTTAAGACATTTTTGTATTTGTTTTCCAAAAGTGTGCATTCTGTAATTCTTGTTCACTAAGTGAACAATGCAGGACATAAATTATATGTGTATTTTTATTAGAGCAACACAAGGTATGTACAAATCTAGAGCAGAGATTGGGAAACTTCCTGGAAAGAGCTGGACACTCTCTGCCATGACTACTTAACTGTGCTTTGGAAAGCAACCATGACATTATGTAAATGAACAAGCATGGCCGTGTTCCAATAAAACCTATAGTTGAGTGAAGAGATTATGGATTATGTTTTCAACATCGCTTAATTTTTAAATTTTGTTGTAACTAAAATTTAGAGTGGGTTTTTCTTAAGTTTCTCATGCTCCAGTTAAACTATGAACCAGTTCTAAAGCAATGTGTTTGTCTATTTCACTACATACCCTATGAGACTCTGAAATTCTGTTAATAGAACCATTCCTTTGTTAAGCATTTATGCAAATCTATGAACTAAAACTGGTAACATATTAACCCACGAGTAGCCTAGTGCTTGGATTATTAATAATAATAGAATTAAATCTAGATTTTAATGTGTTGAGCATTATACTTATGAATTTAGGAACTGAGGCACAAAAAGATTAAAAGAGGGGCAGCCTTGTAACATAGTGATTGAGGGAGCTGAATCCCACTCAGCTGACCGGCCCGGCTAGCTTGAAAACAAACTTGAGTGTATGTGTGGGTGTACCCAAAATCCTGATGGGAGGAAGAAATAGAATGAAGGGGGTTGTGGAGTGATCATACCTCATTGGGGATGCTTTCTCTCTCTCTCTTGCTCTCTAGTGAATGTACATGCCCTTTGGCAATAAAACACACACACACACACACACACACACACACACACAATCCCCAATTTATATAGTCATCAGAAAAGTCATGACATATTTTTTCATTTCCCGCTATGCAAAAATGCATCATGACTTTTGTAATGACCCAATATATGTATGTATGTATGTATGTATGTATGTATAGGTTAAAGAACCCATACAAGGTGATCAAGCCAGAAAGTAGTGGAGTCAGGATTCCGATTCAGACAATCTGGCTCTAGAGGCTGGCCAAGCTCTTAACCACTACATCTTATTGCTAAAAGAAGAAGACACGAAGGAGATTAAGAAGATAATGAGGCCCAGCTCGATGGTGTTGTCAGTAGCAAACTGAATTGTACTGCTCTAGAAACCATGTGGTTGGCCATGGGTTAAGATCCCTGGGTCAGCCTAAAAACACACTGAGTGCGTGCATGTGTGACTCAAGCCCTGATAAACTGAAGGGCAGCAGGAAAAGGATTGTGGTGCGATGAGAACCTGTAGAGGGTTCTTCTCTCTCTCGCTCTCTCTCTCTCTCTCTCTCTCTCTCTCTCTAGTGTATGCACATATGCTCTCTATTAGCATAAAAATAAACTTTAAAAGCTAAAATTTCAAAATAAGAGAAAGACATAACCACATTACAAACAACTCTGATAAAAGGCCTTTCTTAAAACTATGGCCTCAAAACTCTATCAAGAATCAAGGGGGGAGCCAGCAGTTAGCGTAATGGCTATGTTGCTGGACTCCCATGTAGTCGACCACGGTTCACATCCTGGACCCGGTGGCTTAAAACTCACACCGGGCACGTGTGCGTGCGTGCCCAAGATCCCAAGAGGAGAATGGAGGAGAAGGGATTGCGGCGTGACCATCCCCCCTGTGATGTGATTTCTCACTTTCTGTCTCTCTGTCTCTCTCTGTCTGTCTGGCGAGTGCACGCGCCCTATAGCGAAAACCTCTCAAAAAAAAAAAAAAAGAATAAAGGGGAAGCCAGAGTTAAGTAGTCATAACAAAGAGTGTCTGGTTATTCCTAACCCCCAAAATACCAATTCTCAACCAGGGTTGCACAGTAGCATAGTAGCATCATCTGGGGACCTTAAAAAATCCATGCCCAGGCCACAGTGCACAGGTATGGTCAGAGATGACAATTTTCCTCGTGGCCAGCAGCCACACTGCATCTAGCTCAGGAGTGAGATGGGTGGAAGCTCCTTGGAGGAGAGACTAGAAAAAGTGATGGAATGGAGACATGGGAAAGACAATGGGTGTCCTTGAAGAGGGCGAGCCCTGAGGATATAGTAGACCAGTGAGCCTTGCAGGAGACTAAAGTCAAAGTGAGTGACTAGCATTTCTGAGAAGATGGGAAGAGGATGTGATCTACAATATAACTTAGAGATTATGGTAATCACCTATGAGGTCTGAATGCACTTCGCCACTTACTAGCTGTGCAAACTTAGGCTCAGTCATACCTGTCCTGTTGTTGGAAAGGAGTAAGGATGACATGAGATAATGTTCTCAAAGTATTGAACACAGCTCTTTCCACATGACTAGGACTCAATACAGAGTGGTAACTGCTGTCGTAATAGTCTAAGAGCAACAATTCGACAGTCAACAATGGTAATAATAATGATACCATCTTTGACAGTGTCAGCAGAAATAAGCAAACTAGAATATTGAAAGAGGTTTATTCTTAGCCAAGTAAGAGTGACATCTTGGGAAGAAAGAGACTCAGGTAACCCTCCAAGGGTTTCTGTTATAGAAAGTCTCTCTTCTATGTATATGTTTGTTTGTTGAAAACAGAAGATTCAAGCGAAACTGTAAATGAACATGTACAGTTTTTACACTGCTTTGGCCTAAAAAAGGCAGAATATCTGGACGTGGAGGCTCATCAGTAAGAGGTGGTTTTAGAAATTCTTAGGTCAGTAATTGGTTAAATATGCAACAATTTGTTTAAAAAGAACTCAAACTCAGCAGAAAAGAATGTCCAAGTCTAACTTTAATGTAGACAAGAAGTCCTTGCTAGTCATCATGTGATACTATGCTAGGGTCAGGATGTGAAGAATAAACCACGATCAACTAGTTCAAAGAAGTCCGTTTCAGCAAGACTAATGTTCATGAACATAACTCTTCCCAGGCCTCCTGGAGAAAACTTAAAACTAGAAAAGTGTTAGAAGTCAGCCTTTAGCAATAATAGTATCAATAATGGCATTAATATATCAATAGGAGCAATGATGACAAGGGTTGTTTTACATGTGTCAAAAGATAGAAGCCTGGTATAGAAATTTAGGGTATTGTTTTCTCCAAGACGTAGAAGAGGCTAAAGTTACCCACACAGCGAGATGAGAGGGAGTTGGCTTTAACTGAGTGAGATCTAACTGAACTATGTTTTGGGCTTTGTTTTTGTTTTGTTTTGCAGTACAAGATTCTCTTGGACAGGATACATTATTCGTTTTCCCTAACGACAAGCTGGTGGAAGAAGGCTCCAATGTCACCATATGTTATATTTCTAGGAACAATCAAAATAACATATCCTGTCTTTTGGAAGATGAACAAATTAATGGAGAACAACTTGATCCACATGTATTTGCATTCAACTTGAATAATGTTCCTTTCATTAGAGAAACAGGGACAAATTTCTATTGTCAGAGGAACAAAACTGTGAAAGGCATTGTTCTCTTTGTCTCAAGTAAGTAGGCAAATTCTCTGTGTCCTGTCTTCTGTTTCCTGTAGAATAGACTGACTCTCCTTTACCAGAAGACAAGCAAACATTTCCATGCAAAGACTTGATTTCCTTTTGTTTCCCAAGCCTTCTAGGAGAGACATTCAGCAACAATATTCTGAAAAAAGACTTCCAGGATTTCCTTTTGTTTTCTTGTCCTTACTGACAGTTTTATTCCTAGAAACTAACAGTATTAAAGGAGAGTAGGTTCAGGTCATGACCTGAACCAATAGAAAAATCTCCTGCCTTGTCTCAGACATGCTGGGATTTCTGCAGAATGACAGATGAAGCCAGGAGTCTGCAGGTTGAGTGACCACAGAAAGGCATCCAGGATAATAGGTCAGAAGAGCTGGTTTTGACCCTTCTTCTCTTGGCTGGAAATGTCATCTTGGACAAATTTATGAGTCATATGCCTCTGCTGTGAAATAGGGATGATGATGGTGGTTGTAAGGATTAATGATCATGGACAGAGCCTGGCCTCGTACAATAGTTGCATGCAGTAGGAATTCAGCAAATGGAGGCAGTGACTGTTCTTAATTGTGTGGAAAATTGGCTGCACTGAATGTATCGGTGGAGAGGAAACATTGACATTTTTATGTAGATTTATACATGCGCTCAGTGGCTGCCTGTGTTTCATCTTGAGATTCTCTTTCCCCTGTACCGGTAAGGTGGTATCTATCAGGTCTCCCTCCCTGCTTCCCCTGTCAAAGGAGATTTCCAATCTTCTGGAAGTGTGGTCCCTTTGTGTCCCTAGCATGGCCACTGTTAAAATGAAAAACGCAGACTAGTTACATTGAACAGTTCATATGAGCAAGAGATAGGTTCTAGAACTTAGAATGACCTAGACAGGTTGATTCAGAATGCCTTACCCAACTGCATGTGGTGGTATTATTTATAGCCAGAGAAAAGAAAGTGACATATAGAACCAACCTGATTAGCTGCAGTTGGCATTTGTTTTGTATGGGCATGTTTTAGCAGCTTTGAGCCTCTAATTGGCTAAAGCTCAGCTGCTGTGATTGGCTAAGGCTTCATTGCTTCGTTACCAGGGTATAGATTGAAAGTGACATATGGAACCAACCTGATTAGCTGCAATTGGCATTTGTTTTGTATGGGCATGTTTTAGCAGCTTTGAGCCTCTGATTGGCTGAAGCTCAGCTGCTGTGATTGGCTAAGCTTCATTGCTTCGTTACCAGCGTATAGATTTAGGTTAGGTCACAACTTGTTTGCACATCAAGGTAGGCTGCAGTTCAGTATGGAAGGAGCCAACTGTGGGCCAAATTTTACTTTCCAAGTGTAAAAACAGTCTTAAGCCAAGTCTATCAATTTAACACTACCAAGAGTAGCAGTGGCTCTGGGGGATTTAAAAGTATTTGTCAGTCCTTGGAACTCTCAGCTCCTGGTTGTTGCGTTTAGCAAGTTCATGAAATCTGATTTTCTGGCATCCCCCAAACTCTCTGTAAGCCACAGTATTTGAAATAAAATACTAGCAGGCACATAGACACAAGCTTTGTCAGATGGGCACAGTGCCAACCACTTGCCTGGCACTGAATACCTAGTCCTGAGGTACCCCAGAAAATCACAAGGGGAAGAAGAGAAGGATCTAAGATCATGATGCACCTGAAACGTGACGTTATAAGGCTATCGATATATAGGTTTGTCATCTCAGTGACCCCTTCACTGTTCAGAGTAACTCTGGGGCTTCAGACCTCAAACACCTTTCTATTTGGCTTGTCTTTCAATGAAGGGCTTTAACCAGGTCTTAGGTCTGTTTTTTCTTTGTATGGACAGAAGTACTTGAGGAGCCCAAAGACTTTTCTTGTGAAACACAGGACTTCAAGACTTTGAACTGCACTTGGGATCCAGGCAGGAACACTGACTTACGGAAACACGCTTCCCAACGCTACACATTATTTGAATTGTAAGTTAGCTCCAGTTACGTTATTAACAGGCAATTTCTTGTTTAAGATGCTTGGAATGGCATAACACAAACACATGTCATTGTTACAGGAAATTGTAAGAAATATTTCAAAACCACCTACCAGGGACAGGAGGAAATCTTTTAAGTGCTCCCCAGTTAATAACACTTCCTACCTGAGTTTTTGTTGTTGTTTTTAAGGAATATGGGAAGAAAGACATAAAAATGATACTGGTAATGGTGAATCCTGATGTGAAAATAGTCCCATCTGAAGATCTGGACCTACTAATTTCTGATAAGAATATTTCAAGTAGAGCTGACCTATAGCCCAATAGTTAAGGGAGCTACACCCCACATGGCCAACCATGGTTCAAGACCTGGCCCCACTGGCTTGAAAAATGTGCTGGCGCATACATAGAGTGCCCAAATGCCAAGATGAGGAAATGTGGAAGGAATTATAGTGTGACCACACGTCATTTAAGGGTGCTTTCTCCTTCTGCCTCTCTTTCTCTCTGTTTCTCTGTCTCTCGCTGGTGAACATACATGCCACTCTGGTAATTAAAAAAAAAAAAAGAGAATATTGAAAGTTAATTAAGGAGTGTTCTTATACCCACAAGGGAGAGTCAGCAATTCATTGTTAACACATTTAAACACATGTCAAATATGTTGAAACAGTATTTTCATGGTTTGTGTTTGCTGATGTTGGATCAATGCCATCATGTAGGGCATAGTTTCAAAGTCATTCAGCTTACCCTGAGAGATAAGGGACATGTCTGCTCTGATGAAAGTGTAATTGTTGTTTTGTTTTGTTTTTAAAGCTATTCTGGGGAAAAGAAACTCTGTAAACACAAAAACTGGTGTAATTGGCAAATAACGCAAGACTCACAAGAAACGTATAACTTTACACTCATCGCAGAAAATGACTTAAGAAAGCGAAGTGTCAGTATTCTTTTTAACCTGACTCAACGAGGTGAGACAAGAGTTTTGGCCCACTGTGGCCCCTAGCACGTGTTTGACACCCTGTGTGACCCAGTCAATGTGCTGCAGATTTCTGACTAATTCTCAGCGGGAGTTGTAATTCAGACCTGTTATTTATGCTGCGTTTCTCCTCATGCGTGCATGTGCCCCTGACTAGTTGTTTGTTTTGATGATGTCATAAGCACGGATCAGTTTTCTACCCGACTTCAAAATGAAGACTCCAACAATAGCTTATTTCACATCTCATTCCACAGCCCCCCACCCTGATCTTTCCACCAGGATAATTACTACTTTAAATTGCTTATGTGTGTGTATGCAAGTATTATCATTTCTTTCTTTTTTCTTTTTTTTTTTTTTTGAGAAGTTTTCTCTATAGGGCACGTGCGCTCGCCAGAAAGACAGAGAGAGACAGAGAGACAGAAAGCGAGAAATCACCCCCCAGGGGGGATGGTCACGCCGCAATCCCTTCTCCTCCATTCTCCTCTTGGGATCTTGGGCACGCACGCACACGCACCCAGCATGAGTTTAAACCGCCAGGTTCAGGACTTGAACCGTGGTCGACTACGTGAGAGTCCAGCAACATAGCCATTACGCTAACTGCTGGTCCCAAGTATTATCATTTCTTACGTAATCTTAAATGTATGTTTTATTTTTGTTTGATTTTAATGTATAGAAAGGACATCAAGCTCTGTAATAATTTAGTAATTATTTTGACATCATATTAAATTGCTGATTTTTTTTGCTTAGGATTGCTTTGGTTGTTCAGGGGCTTTTGTAATTCTATACAAAACTTATAGTTGTCTTTTCTATTCTGTGAAGCATGTGATTGGTGTTTGTATAAACACTGCATTGAATCTGTGGGTATCACCAAGTAGGCCACTTGACCGTGAGGGATAGTAGGGGCCAACAGTGCAGACCTACCATGCCTCAGGGGCTCCCGTTGGAGATATGGGTCATGTGCTGGGGTTACAGTGGGTACTGTGTTCTGTACCAGGTCAAGAGTGATGGCCAGAAGTACTTGGAGTACTTATGCAGGAATTAGGGAGCCTTGTACTCAAGCTGTGGCTTGTCCCAGTATGGGTCTGTGCCTGATGCCTAGAGGACTCCTGCCAGGGGCTGGTACAGGGGAGCTATGACATCGGCTGGGCTTGGCTTGATTAGGGAACTGCAGTAGGTAGAACCTAGAGGGCTCCCACTAGGGGAGGGGCTCATGTGCTGAAGCCGTATTGTACACTGGATTCCTCACATATCAGTAACAGAGGCTGATGGAGCCTGGAGGCCCTCATGGAGGACAGGTGTCTGTACACTCAAGCCACACCATGTTCTGGGCTCAGCTTGGCGGGTTTCCACAGTAGTAAAATTGTTCCTCAGAGCAGTCTTCTCACTCACCTATGTCCCCCTTCTCACTCCCCACTATGTTCCAGAGTGATGCCACTCTGTGGGTTTACATAACAGGGTCTCGTGACAATCCCCTGCCTCAACTTCCCCAGTTACTGGGGATTACAGGCAGATGCCACGCTACGTGTCCTTTATTGGACTGGGGACCTAACTGTGTTCCAGCCTGCAGATCACAGCAGCTTAGGGCACACCATTGTGGCTTGGCTGACATCTGTAATTCTGTCGGGCTGCCAGGATCTGAGTGTTCCAAAAGCAGACATGGATCTTGACCTGTTGAATGGCCTCCGAAGCCTGCCTCTGCCAAGGGCCCTACTTAAAAATGGTGGCTTTGTGAGTCACTTTGACTGCCAAAAAGACATCTAGGTGTTTACATATTCTTTCTAGTACCCATAGAGGCCTACCTGCTTTGGGCCTCCTTTTTATTAGCGGGTGTCATTAAGTTCAACTACTTTTGTTTGTTTCTAGGATATTTCTTTGCTGCCCCACCCAGGTAGCCTTGGCATTTAGGCTATGATAGTCCATTGTTAGTCTCCATGCACCAGAGCCTTTTCAACCAGCCACACTCAGCTATTACATTGTGATGGAGTTGTTTGTAACATTTTTTATCTGTATTAAGTCCTGCACTTTGGTGCTGGCCCCATAGCCTACTAGTTAAGAGAGCTGTATCCTGGGGCCAGCAGATGACATAGTGGTTAAGGCACTGGACTCCTACATGTCTGACTGCAGTTCAAGTCTCGGACCTGGCGTCATAAAACTCATACCAGGCGCATATACATGGGTGCCTAATCCTGGGAGGAGAATGGAGGAGAGGGGATTGTGGCTTGTCCATCCCCTCTGGGGGGATGATTTTTCACGTTCCCTCTCACTGTCTCTCTCTGATGAATGCACGTGCCCTATGGAGGAAAAAAATTTAAAAAGCGCGAGAGAGCTGGGTCCTACTTGGCCAACCACAGTTCAAATACTGGACCTCATGGCTTGAAAAACACACTGGATGTGCATGTCTGCATGCCCAGTCCTGACAGGATGGAGAAATGGAGAAAAGGACATTGCAGTGTGACCACATCTCACTAGGGGTGCTTTTCCTCTCTGTCTCTCTGTCATTCTGGTGAGTGCACATGCCTTCTGGCACTGTCAAAAAATAAAAATAAAATCTAGATCAGTAGGTGGCATGATGGTTGCAGCTCTGGATCCCAGATGACCGACTCCCGACTCATCAGCTTGAAAAGCACGTCAGGGGTGTGTGTGCTCAAAGTCCTGAGAGGAGAATGGAGGAGAAGGGATTGCAGCATGGCCATCCTCCTGGAGGGGGGTGGATTTCTCACTTTCCTTCTTTCTCAGTCTCTCTCCAGCAAGCACACTTACCCTATGGCAGAAATCTTAAAAAAAAAAAAAAAAAAATCCTATACTTTTGCTCCTCAAGTCTGGGACTCTAACAAATGTTTGAATTATAACCCCATATCCCCTAAAGCTTTGTTCATTTTTGAAAATCTCCTTCCTTCTTATTGTTCAGGTTAGACAATTCCCATTGATCTACCTCAGGTTCACGGGCTCTTTCCTCTGTCATATCTATTCTGTTGTTGATCTACCAAATGAATTTTTTATTTGTTATTGCATTTTCATGTCAAAACTTTCTGTTTTCTTCTCTTTATCTCCTATCTCTTTGCCAAGATTTTCTATTTCTCCATTCTGAGAATGTTTGTAATTGCCTGTGGAACATTGTTATAATTGTTTCAAAGTCTTTGACATGCAATTCCAACAGCTGTGCCACCATCTTGTCGGCATCTGCCAACTGTCTTTTCCCTTATGTGTTGAAATTTTCCTGGTTCTTTGTATGCTGAATAATACAGAATTTTATCCTGTATATAATTATGAACATAACCTGAATAGTATGTAGGGAGACTGGGCATTTAGATCCTATGGTGTATACTGTTGGTTTTTTTTTTTTCTAGTTGACAATTAACCTGGTTTGCTTGAGTTTCAGCCTGCTGCTTTCTGTGGCTGTGGTTCAAATATAAGTTCAGTTTTCAAAGACTTTGCAGTGCTTTGTCCAATAGATCTATTCCAACTGTGTTTTTTATTTTTTATTTTTTTGAAACCAGTGTGGAACCCAGGCAGTGGTCTGTTAGTCCTTTCTCAAAGTCTAGTGTGCTGATTAAGATCAGATTCATGGGCTAGCAGGTGGCACAAGGTTGGGGCATCTGAATTCCACATGGCTGACTGTGTAGTTTGAATCCCAGAGCCAGAGGCTTGAGAAACACACTGAGTTCACGTGCCCAGGGTCTCAAAAGATTAGAGAAGCGTTTGTGGTGTGTTCAGGGGGTTGGCGGGCGGTGATTTCTTTCTCTCTCTCTCTCTCTCTCTCTCTCTGTCTCTGTGTCTCTCTCCAGCAAGTGCACATACTCTATAACAAACTAAAAAAAAATAATAAATAAGTCAGATTCATGAATACATGATTGGGAGGTAAGCACATAAGTCCATGAACAACTTCATGAAGTCACTTTCCCAAGCACCTTCTTCTCCATGATCTCCCTAGTCCTTTTCAGTTCCCTGGAACTCTCCTGTCAGAAATCTATAACTTTGGTTATCCATTCTGGCACTTACTTCCATTACTGTACCTTCAAGCCAGGACAAGTGATGGGAGAACTGAAAAAAAAAAGAAAAAAAGCTGGGGAAGCCAATTCACTTCCAGTTCATAGGTACTTCCGATGTTGGTGTTCTCTAATCTGCCGGCTCTATTTTTCATAGTTCTTAAATAGCACTCCATGAATTATGTCTCCTGTATCTAGTGGAAAAGACAGGATGAAGGTACTTACTTCATCTTTTTCCAGAACTGAACCCTTTCTCATCATTTTGTAATAAAATTTCAGATATTCAATTGTTTTGGTGCTGAAATTTCCATTCAGTTCTTTTTCAGAACAGTTTCTATTCTTTCTGAAAGGTGTTTTCTCTCTATTTATTTCAGTCGTGTTTGCCTTTACCTCTTGGAGCTATCTTCATGTTACTGTCTAATAATCATCCCGAGGCTGGCATCTGTTGATTGTCTTTTGCCTTGGGAATCTGAAGTTTTTCTGGATTGTTCTTGTTATTTTATTTGTCAAATAATTTTGGATTGTATCCTTGACATAATTAACGTTGTTTTGTTTAAACTCTGTATTCTGTTATAATCTTCCTCATAGGTCATCTTCTCCAAATTTTTAATCCCCTCTGCAATCTGCCTGTTTATGTTTAACCTTAAGAGACCTCAGATAACTTATTTTTGTATTTTGTTCAATGTGTCTAATATAGTCAGTGTGAAAAAAAGGCTGTAGTTAGTTTATTCTATCTTTTCTATATGTGGTTTTTCTATTTTCTCAGTTATAAACACAAAAGAGTTGTTGAAGAAATAAAGAAATGAATTGCCTTTTTACCAGTCTTTTTGGATGTGTGCTTGATTTTGTTTGTTTATTTGTTTGACAGTTCGACCAATGACTCCCTTCAGTGTCAGTTTTGAAACTGTAAGTGCCACAAATGCCATGATGACCTGGAAGGTGCATTCCATTGGGAATTATTCCTCACTTTTGTGTAATGTGGAACTCTATGGTGAAGGAAGAATGATACAAGTAAGAACTTTTCTTAATTTCTACTTTAAAAAAATCCCTTTATGTCCCGAACGGAAAGACTGCTGAATAAAATCACATTAAACTTGGGCCAGCTGGTGGCAGCGTGGCGACTAAGGTAGCTGATTCCGCGTGGCCTACCCTATGGTTTGAGACACAAACCCAGCTTGAAAAACATCCCAGGCATGTGTGCATTTATGCCCGAAGTCCTACAATAAGGGAGAGATGGAGGAGAAGGGATTGCAGGGTGACCATTCCCTATGCGGGCTGCTTTCTCACTTTTCCACACTCTCTGTGTCTCTCACCAGTGAGCAATCCAGCAAAAACAATCAAAAATCACTTTCAACTTTATCTCTTTGTAGATTCAAATTCAAATGATAGGGATCATCTGTTTGAAAAGGGTCATGAAACTAAGTGAAGACTATTAGGGTAAGAAAGGGGGCCTTAGAGTTTTTTTTTTTTTTTTTTTCCATAGAAAAACTTCATCTCACTCCAAGCCCAAATGTACTGTGTCCTGCTTTGATTTTGCAATGAGATGTGTTTATCAGTACTTCTGTGTTCTTTTGACTCTTTCTTTCTTGCAGCAGCACAATGTTAGTGTCAAGGTGAATGGTGAATTCCTCTTAAGTGAACTGGAGCCTAACACGAAGTATACAGCCCAAGTCCGCTGTGCTTATGACAAGCACATCTGGAAATGGAGTGAATGGATTAGTCAAAGCTTCATCACACTTGAAGCTGGTAGGTTCAGCTCTGTGGCATTTAATCCAAGGCTCCAAACCTTAGCAGATGGGCTGGCATCTCTGAGAGCTTTTGCTTATAACACAAACTAGGAGGGAAGCATTAAAAAACAGATACAGGGCACCATTTTCAAAAGTTGGATTAAATGCCTAATGAGAAGGGAGTGGGAAGCCATCAACCTCACACATTTGACATCAGTGTTATTTCTACTAGACATTTTCTCTCTTATCTTGTATTTTTCCAAAATGGTTTCTAAGCCACTGCCGTTGCTGGATTCACATTGATCTGGGGCTATAGACTAGGGACCTACAGATGTGTTACTGCCAAGGTAAGCATTGAACTCTTGCTAAACTTCGTGCTTTGTCTGGAAATGTAGTACTATTTGGAACTTTAATTATTATGAGAAAGCCATTGCTTCCAAGAACAACACACTGGGAGCACTCTCCTGTATGCCCTCACTGGTGCAATACACAGAATTTTTCTCCCAAATCACTGAGTCTCAGAGCTCAAGTAGGCCTCAGGAGATGAATCTGGCCTTCCTCTTCCTGCAATTCAAGATAATAAAGTACAGTAGTTCCCCTTACTCACAGTGTCATTTACCTGTGGTCGACCATGGTCCTGAAAATAGTCATGACTCATGGGAACCAGCAGTTAGCGTAATGGCTATGTCGCTGGACTCCCACATAGTCGACCGCGGTTCGTGTCCCAGACCCGGTGGCTTAAAACTCACGCTGGGCGCGTGTGCGTGCGTGCCCAAGATCCCGAGAGGAGAATGGAGGAGAAGGGATTGCGGCGTGACCATCCCCCCTGGGGGGTGATTTCTCGCTTTCTGTCTCTATGTCTCTGTCTGTCTGTCTGGCGAGCGCACGCGCCCTACAGTGAAAATCTCTCCAAAAAAAAAAAAAAAATAGTCATGACTCATTAGGGTCCAAGGTCCAGGATCACCTGAAGCAGATGATTCTCCTTCCGACCAATCATCATCAGATCAATAATAGCCTAACACCATGTCACGATGTCTGCACCATTCCCTCACTGCACTTTATCACTCGCATCATTTCACATCATCACAAGAAGAAAAAGAGTAAGTACAGTTCAGGAAGGTATTCTGAGAGAGAGAGAGACCACCTTCACATAACGTGTGTTACGGTATATTGTTATAATTGTTCTCTTATTAATTAATTATTGTTGTTAAACTCTTACTGTGCCTCATTTCTGAATTAAACTTTATCATAGTTTGTATATAGGGCCAGTGTTAAGTGCAGCTTCAGGCATCCACTAGGGTCTGTGGGTCATATCCCCAAGGATAAGGGGGACACTACTGTATCGCTGTTGCCCATCTTATGGATGAGACAACCTGAACCCACAAATTGAAGAGACTTCCCCAGTTTTCAGAGTTGATGAATGTCAGAGACATCATCGTCATTGTGATAGCATTTAACATTTGCCGTGGGCTAGACATAGCTCTACATGCTTCTTGTACTTTTCTCTTTTAATCTTCACCACATGCAGTAGGTACAATTTTTATTCTCATGTGATAGATGGGAGCATTGAGGTCTACAAAGGTTAAGTAATTTAACTGGCCAATAAGTGACCGAGATGACTCCAGAGCTATACCCTTAAATAGATCTGGATTCTGTGTATTTTCCTTCTTGGTGTTATTATTACAATCTTGAGATCTTATTAAGTCAATTATTTTTACTAGCAAAGGAAACATTACATATATGCATTTTATTCTACCTGATTATTTGTGTGTGTAGGCAAGCAGAACTCTTTCTGTTTCATTCTAGGAGGGAAACTTAAAGTGTTGACTCTAATTTGGGAGTGGCAAGGGGAACTAATCAAAATCTACACGTGGGTTTAGTAGTTAGTCAAGCTTAATAGGCCTCTTCTCATTCCCTGGGAGTTCCTGCTCACTGTGTTCCCACTGAGACTCCAGTAATTTTTCCAGAGGGTCAGATTCTTCAAGGATTCTCATTGTAGAAATCCTTCTTCCTGATAGGAATATGCTATGTTCCTCAGTTGTGTTTTACTAAGGAAATCTTGCCTTAATAATTGAGGTTTTCTTTGAGGTCTTTTTTTTTGGGGGGGGGAGTCTAATTTTTGCAAATTTATTCCAAAATTATAACTAAAATTTTATGCAAAAACAGCATGCCAATAGGATAGAGTTTCCTTTATGTTATACAATAATAAAATAAAATAATGCACTTTGGTTTTGGTGATGTCTTAGTCTGTTATTGCATTGCTTACAGAAATACCTGAAACTGGGTAAATTTAAGAGGGTGGAGGCTTATTGATATTTCTGGCCATATGGTAGGTTCAAAGGCATCCTAAAATAATAGGGGGCAGGATATTGAGCAGAACTGCTGTCAATAATTTTCTGCCAGTTCTGGTCTCCTAGTCTGCTTTATAAACACATCAGAAGTTAATCATAGTCCTCACTCCCAATAACCTTACAACACTCAAATGCCCCACCCTGGGACAGGACTAAGTTTTCACTTAATACCTTTATAGTCCAACCAAGTCCTAAAACTTGAATTTTAAAGGCCATCTAAACTACACTTTCCACCCCTAGCTCCCAAAATGCATGGATTTTTCACATACATAATCATCCCAATAGCCCCCCAAAATCTCAACTCTTTCCATCACCAACTCCAAAGTCCAAGGTCCAAAGTTGTATCTGAGACTCAAGGCAAACTCGTTCCAACTGAGTGTGTGAAGCCAACACAAATGACATGTTCCCAAAATACAGTAGTGAGATAGGCACACGACCCTAAGAAAGTCTGAAACTCAAGAGGGCTGGCGTTCAATCTTGAAATTCCATATGCTAGCTACATTCTAGATGCACTGAGGGGTTAGAGCATCAAGAAACCTTATTTCCCTGTCTTTGCTGGGTTCAGTCCATACCTCGACTCTCTCCAGCTGGAATCTCATGCCTGCAGTTCTTTCCGGCTGGCACCACATGCTCCAGCTTCACAATTCTTGCATCTTGAGGGTGGTCCTGTCTATGTAGTTTCACTGGACATTGTCCTCCAGGATCTGGCAGGCTGGAAGATGGAGGCAGGGGATGGGGGCATGACCAGACACTGTGGAGGGTGCTTGTCTCTCTCTTTCTCTTACTCTTGTGTGAGTGTGTGTGCGTGTGTGCGCATGTGCGCATGCTGTCATAAATAAAGAAAAAGAAATAAATACAATTAAATAACGTAATGAACAAGACCCTAATCATCTTGGGTTCAATCTTGACTCCATCCTCACAGCTGGGTACTTTTGAGCAATTAACTTAATCTTTAGGCCTTAGTTTCTTTATCTAGAGAATGAGGTAGATAATAATACCTGTCTCAGCATTGTTAGAAGGCCTATATGAGTTAATATATGTAAAACACTTAGAATTAGCCTGGCACCTGTAGTCCCTCTATAAAAATTAGTTGTTGTCATAAATTTGAGGCCCCAAACAGTTTTTTATGAAGGTACCAGAGTTGGTTTATGTTAAAAGATGGACCCTCCTCTTGTTAAGTTGATTGAGCAAGCACGAATTCAAATGCTAACACAATCAATTGGTCCGTCAGTTTGCACAGATTTCTAATCAAAGGTCAGACACAAAAGATGGGAATATTTAAGCAAGTTGTTTTCTCGGTTCCCTCTTCATTTGCTTTTTATTCATTCTAATAGTGTTTAGGGAGCTTTTCTAAGTGCCAGGCTCTGAGCCAGAGGCTAAGAGTTTCGAAGTCACAAGAGCCAAGGAAGCACATTACTCTAGAATCACATGGAGAGAGTCCTGATAAGAGGGAACTGAGCAGCTGGTGCCTGGAGCATCTGTAAGCAGGGCTCAGGATGAGAGCAGGGAGGCTCCTCTAGGCTGTCACTCCCAGGAGTGCAGGGGAGCCCCCCTCCTGCCCCTCGAGGCTTTCTGCTAGTGTGCCTGATTGTGGCCTTCACAAATAAAGCCAGGAAGTGGTAATGGTCAGCTGTGGAGAATGTCCCAAATTGGTCAGTCTAAGGAGCTCACCTCTTAGTCACTCTGACAAGTCAGAATGTCCCAAATTGGTCAGTCTAATGAGCTCACCTCCTAGTTACTCTGACAAGTGATTCCAAAATTCCTTGGTGGTTTCCAGAAGCTCTGAGGCTTGATTTATAGAGGCTTTCAGTTTGTTGTTCTGTTCAGAGGTAGCTGACCTATGTGTTTTTCCTGAGGAGGGAACAGTGTGGCTGTGGACAGTGGGTGACAGTCACAGGGAGCGGAACAGTAGGACTGGTAATCTTCACCATTTAGAAAGGTTGAATGTTATTCTATACATACATATTGTGACCCAAGTGCTGCTCTTTGATACATTTCAGCTCCCTCAGTGGCGCTTGATGTCTGGAGAAATGTGAAATCCAAGCCAGGAAGTCAAAATGTGATCTTATTCTGGAAGGTAAGATGTATAGTTTTGAAGTCTTATTTACTCTCCTGTGTCTTTCACTATGAAACTGTGGATGTTAGTGCAGACTTTGAGCTGAGAGGGATCATAACATGAACCAAATAGAACTTCTTACCTAGTGCAAGAACCCACTGGCATTCATGTCCCATTGCTTGGATTTGGACCTCCTTGACAACCCAAGCCACTATGGTCAGCTTTGATAGAACCTTCCTCACTTAATTTTCTACTCAGACCAAGCTGAAACTTTTGCAGGCCCAGGACAAGGGTAAAAGTGGAGTGCTACATACCATATTCAAAATTATTAGTATTTGAACACTCAAGCTATTTTTTTTTTGAAAGAGAGATTTTTGCTATAGAGTGCATCCACTACCAGAGAGACACAGAGAAACAGAAAGTGAGGACTTACCTCCTATCCCCAGGGGGGATGGCCATGCCACAATCCCTTCTCCTTCTCCTCTTGGGATTTTGGGCACGCACACACATGTACCTGGCTTGAGTTTCAAGCCTCCGGGTCCAGGACGTGAACTGCAGTTGACCATGTCGGAGTCCAGCATCTTAACCACTATACCACCTGCTGATCCCCCCACCATTCCTAAAATTTTATTTATATTCTACCATTGTATAGCTCTATGGTGTACAACAGGATTTTTCAAGGCATGCATGTAGTACATAACCATCAAATCAAGGATCACCATATACGTCATTTTCAACAGAGAACTTTCCATTCCTTTGTCTGTTAAGTGTTTCTTCCCTTTGCCCTTCCCACCTACACTCTACCCTCCACTACCCTCCCTTACAGTCCTCTCATACTGTTAGGTCCTCGGGAAAGCTGTGACGTATTTTTCTATTCAAAAATGCATCATGACTTTCCTGACTACCCAATACTTATATTTAAAAATTATGCATCAAGCTAAGAGACTATAATGTAAAATAAACTTTATTCTTTGCCTAATATACCTTCAAGAAAGCCAGAAAGACCAGGTTTGTATTCAGAACTCTGAGTCTTCCTTGTTTTATATGAGAACACAGTGATGCCGGGATATTGGGCCCCAGACACAGCCCATCCCACTTTTCTTCCTATCTCTATTCTGGCACACTCCCTAAGGACCTCTGTGCACATATGAGCAGACGTGCCAGTCTGCATATTCTGGTTCTTTTCACACCTCAGGGAGACAGCTACTCCCTGCCTGGTCTCAGATCTAGGGTGCACACACCAAGGCCGTAGTCTATCCTAGGGAAGGTGGACCTGAGGAACAGACCCTGGGAGTGGGCTCAGGATCATACAGGCAGGAAATCTCTGCTCCTTAGAGGATCATCAGAAGAGGACAGTGGGAATGAGGAGAGCACAGCTATCTGGGAATGACACAACTAGAGGGGGTAGGGATGAGGCCAGGATCCAGATGTTTCCTGCTAAGGTCTCAGGAGTGATGTTTATACTCATTGGTCTCTCTCTCTCTCTCTCTTTTCTCTCTCATTTTCCTCCCTAAGTCTTTTATTCCTCCAGATTAAAGAGAATATCTTCTTGGCCAACACTACAGCCTAGTAGAGGGAGTTAGAGCCCATGTGGCTGTCTGTGGTTCTAACCCTGGCCCCACTGGCTTGAGGAACATGCTGAGCACGTGTGCATGGGTGTTCAAAATCACTACAGGATGGAGAATAGAGGAGAGGAGTGGTGGGACCACACCCCACTGGGGGGGGTGCTTTCATCTTCTGTCACTCTGTGTATGTGTGTCTCTCTAGCAAGAACGTGTACCCTCGGACAATTAACTCCATATATATGTATATACATATATATGAAAATCCCTATCTCTGTGTGTGTGTGTGTGTGTGTGTGTGTGTGTGTGAAAATCCCTAATCCCTTCCTCTTGATGCCTGACTTGGCCATTTTTCTCTGGACACATTCTGCTTTTGAGGATCTTACCTCCACGTGGTTCTCTTCTCCACTTGGTTTCTGTTAAATTAGAATGCCTGATTTCTAGACCAGCCAGTGGCATGGTGGTTAAAGTGGCTGGATCCCACATAACCAACTGTGTGGTTTTAGACCTGGATCTGGCGGCTCGAGGAACACACCAGGGATGAGTATGTGCCTAAAATCTTGAGGGAGAAGTGCAGGAGGAAGGATCATGGCATGATCTTTACCCATGGGAGGGATGCTTTTTCACTCTGCCCCGTTCTTTCTCTGTCTCTTTCAGGAGAGTGCACACACCCTCGGGCGAAACTCTTTTAGAAAAACAATGATTGGTTTCCAGCTTGGTTTAGAGGGTTATTTTTTTAAGTCGTTTTATTTTTTGTGTGTGAGTGTGTGTGTGTGTGTATGTGTATAAGCAGTTGAGGAACAAAATAGATGAAAAGATAAATATATAAACTCTATTCAAAGTAGAGTACATTTTGAAACAATTATCAATATTTTTTTCAGCCACTGTCAAAATTTCATGCCAATGGGAAAATCCTGTTTTACAATGTAGTTGTAGAAAATCTGGACCAGCCGTCCAGGTTAGAGCACTACACCATCCCTGCTCCTGCCAATGGCACTGAGCTCTCCCTGGACCAGAGCTCTTATGAGATCCGCATCACAGCCAACAACAGTGTGGGATCTTCTCCTGCTTCAGTCATTGTCATCTCTGGCAACAGTGAGTTTGTTTTGTTTCATTTTTTATATTTTCTCCTCTAAGAGAATGTGGACAGCATTAAGTAATGGCAGTTAAATTAAAAAGTCCATCGCCTAGAGAGACAAAATGTCCAGTTGCCAAACACTGTTAGTCATTTTCTTTGGGGGCAGGGGTGTCCAGTGTGTTTTAGTGGAACAGTTCTCCTCAGTGTGGAAAAAGGGACATTTCAGCCCTGACTCAGGACAGTTCTGTCCCAGAGACACTTCTGCACACTTGGGAAGTGACCCTGAACTGATTCAAGTAAACGAAACCCCAACAAACAGTCCTCACTGAGAATTTGAGTTGGTACTTAAGTGCTTTGTGGTTTGTGAAACAGGAGTTGTACTTCTTAGGCTGTAAAACATTTTGCTGGGACCAGCAGGTGGTGTGGTGGTTAAGGGCTCTGGACTCCCACATGGCTGACCATGGTTCAAGTCCCAGACCTGGCAACTTGCTTTCTCTGTGTGTGTTTCCCTCTCTAAATAAGTAAAGTTAAATAATTCTTCCAAAAAAATTTTTGTCAGTCTTTGTCCCTATGAAGAGTCTATGACTGAGGCTGGATGGTGGTGCAGTGGTTAAACACGATGGTCTGTGGGTTTGACCCACATGTTAAGGTCCTGGGTTCCTGTCTGGAGACCTTCCTGAATATGCTGGGCACAGCATCTCTGTGCTCTGGGACTGGCAGAGGCTGCGAGTGGATCATGCCATCAAAACCCTCTTAGTGTTGCTGTCTGTCTCTCTCTGTGTCTCTCTGTCTCTCCTCATCTCTGTCTATCTCTCTTATTCATGGAAGAGGTACACTTAATAAAAATTTTAAAAATAAAAATAAATAAAAATAAAAAAGCCCATGAACATTCCCAGAACTCTTCAGGTGAAGTTGTGTCATCTTTCACCAACTTGACACCTTTGTAGAATAAAGCTGGTAACTTGCTACTCTCTCAGCCTGTGAAAGAGCTGAAATGAGCTCTTTACATGCAAAATCAGCACTGATAGTAGTTTCCTTCTTGAGAGACCCATGGAAAGAAATTGGTATAGTAAACCCCACAGTCACCTGATGCAGACAAGGGCCTAATGCAGTTGGCAGCTGGCGTCCTAAGGTCAGTCATGAACCTGTAATAATATCACCCTTCAGGTCCTGCGATTAAGTTTTTTAGACCTTGCTGTGAGGTTATGGCAGGTCATCCTTAGCCGTTATCCAAGTAGGCTTAAATTTCGATTAAGTGGAACAGATTAGAGGGCACTGTTGTGTTGTGTTGTTTTGTTTTGTTTTTATGTTTTAAGAACTATTCAGTGTGAATCAGATAAGAAAAAGAAACCAGTATTGGGGCCATAGAGGAAAAACTCATAAGCTTTGCTTTATGAAGAGCTCTGTTAAAGAAGGAAGTGAATGGTTGTATTCTGACTTCATTAGGGCTAGATTAAGGAGAGTGGGCATTTCATTCAGCCTGGAGGAGCTGGGAGACAAAAGAAAGGCTGCCTTCCATGAGGGCTAGTTCAAAGTAACACTGCTGAGTGCGGCTCAGCACTACTTTGGGGGCTTCTCTGTGGGTCCTACCATGTCCTCTGACTCCATGCCCTGCCTTCAGACACAGATCTCCCCAGGTAAGACTCTATTCAGCCTTTCTTAATGGGCCACAGTCCTTTTGTTATGCCATAGGGCACGTGTGCTCACCAGAGAGACACAGAGAGCGACAGAAAGTGAGAAATCAACCCCTGGTGGGATGGCCATACCCCGACCCCCTCTCCTCCAGTCTCCTATTGGGATTTTGGCACATGTGCACACAGGCTGGGTGTGATTTTTCAAGCTACTGTGTCTGGGACACAAATCGCAGTCGACCATGTGAGAATCCAGTGCCTTAACACCACCCACCTGCTGGCCCTAGTCCACATTCTTAAATCAGTTGTGTAGATAGTCTCTCTTGTGCTATGAGAAAAACCAGTGTGGTTAAGACAATTCATATTAGGGTGTGAGAAACTAAAAAAAGACTCCTTACTTTCCCTTTACCTCCATCCCTCAAAATATTTTCAATTTTAAAGAAACAGTTTGCTTAAATACCCTGATTTGATTCTTACGCAATCTACACACGTATCAAAATGTCACATTGTACCCCATAAATATGTACATTATTCCATGTTAATTAAAAAAATAATCAAAATTGAAAGTACAAAAAAAAGAAAGCAACAGGACCAGCAGGTGGCATGGTGGTTAAGGGCACTGGACTTCCACATGGCTGACTGTGGTTCGAGTCCTAGATCTAGTGACTTGCCTTCTCACTTCCTTTCTCTATCTCTCACTCTGTCCCTGTCTAGTCAAATTTAAACAAAGTTAAATAAAATAATTATTACAACAAAAACTCATGCAGGGTGCATGTGCGTATGTGCCCAAAACTCTGAGAAGAAAATGGAGGCAAAGGGATTGCAACTGGGCCATCCCCCATGGGGGGTGATTTCTCACTTTCTGTCTCTCTGGCGAGTACGCGCACCCTAAAGCAACAGTCTCTCAGAAAGAAATGTAGAGATGGCAGCCTCAGTCGTAAACCGTGTGCACATCCTTGCACGATCCAACCAAGTGCACATTTGATTTCTTTTTTCTTTTCTTACTCGTAATTCCTACCCCCAACATCTCAGAAGCAATAGTGAGCTTGAGGGCCGCCTACATGACTGTGGAGGACTTACACTGCCTTCATCATTTCTTCAGCAGGTATTATTGTTGGAAGCAGATTGTGTACCAGGTATGGTTCATCAATGATCAAGGGTCAGCAGTGTTTTTGGTAGTGAGGCAGGTAGTAAATATTTTAATAGATCATTCAATGTCTATTATATATTCTCTAATTCTTGTGTGCCCCGCAGGGGCAGGGGCAGGGGCTAGAAAATGTGTGTGCTCACTGGAGAGAGATGAAGAGAGAGGGAAAGTGAAAAATCACCCTCTTGGGGGAAGAGCCATGTTACAGTCCCTTCTCCTCCATTCTTTTCTTGGGGTTTTGAGCATGCACGCACAGGCACCCAGTATGGTTTTCCTGTCACCTGGTCTAGGACTCAAACCACGCAGTTGGCCATGTGAGATCCAGCTGCCTTAATCACCATACCACCAGCTGGCCCCATTGGTTTGTTTTTTGCTACCCTCTAAAAATCTAAAAACTGTATTTAGCAGAAGGGTCATATAAAAACAAACATCAGAGGCTGAAATTGTCCAGCTGGCCATAGATCACCACTCCTGTTCTTGGAGCTGGAGTCTGGATGGGTCTGGGAAGATGAAGAGGAGGGGCGGCATCTCCAAGTCAAGTGTGAATGTTTGTTGGGAGAGGCCGGAACGCTTTCCCCAACCCAAGCCCTTGCAACCTTCGAAGTGGTGGACTGTTACATGTTAGAGACATTGCACGTGTATATTTACTTTCTTTACTGGACAATTCATTAAATCCGAAGCTTTGCTCTATTTGTTTAGGTACAGAAGAGGTTGAAGAAGAAAAAATTAAAGGCACAGAGGATGGATTTCCTGTGTCTTGGAAACCCCATTCTGGAGATGTCCTGGGCTATGTTGTAGAATGGTATGACTGTCCCCAGGACCAGCTCTGTGATTTCCAGTGGGAGAATGTAGGTCCTGGTAACACCAGCATTGTCATTAGCTCAGGTAAGAAAACCTTCCACCTTACCGTCTTTCTATACCCACATCACAGCAAGTTGGACTAGGTTTTCTGGACTACCTTGCAGAAGCTTTGTACTAAACTAAGACTTCTGAAATGAAAAGCCCAGCATGGGTGTTAGGAGTTCAGTCTTACAAGGCTGTGTTCTAAGATTTGACCTTTAAGTTTACCTTTTCAGAGAATATCTGGGCCAAAGGAAGGGCTCCATTTTCATGGTTTATGAACTTGTTCCTCTAAATTAGTGATCTCGCGTGAATGGTAGAAAGGCATGGTAACAGTTGTCCAGAGACCTTTTCCAAAAGCAGATACACATATGGGTTGGAGAGGTTTAGGACACAGATCTGATGAAGTCAATTCTCAGCCCCTTCTATTTCAGTAAAACGTGTAGAACTGGAGTCACCTCCCACATTGGAGTTCAGATTTGTGATTTGAAAAAGGCAAGTTTAGCAAAGTCAAAGGAACAGGTTTGTGGCTTGAGCAGGAGCGGTGGGTTGCGCCATCTGCTGGGCTTAGGGAAAGATGAAATTGCATCCAGAGGGTGCTTAGGGCCCCTGCCAGTTTCAGTGGGAGGTGGGATCTGGAGGCAGATTACCAAGGCGCAGGTGTGAGGAGAAAGGAAGTAGAAGCAAAGCTTTCAAGACCCTCAGCTTTGAGGGGAAGAGAGAAGGCAAATAACAAGGGGGCTTGGAGTCAATGGGGGATTTAAAATGGTTTTCTGTGCCTGGTCTGACTCTTGCCTGGTTTTATGCACGTGGATAACGGCATGGCTGCAGGCGTGCTGGAGACAAACGACAGAGTCAGTGTTTGTAGCAGAGAGTACTCCATGACTTCACAGGAGGAGGGCGCATGGGGAGATGAAATAAAAAATCCTGAGAAGGAAATTATAAGGGGAAGGGAAGTCCACTTTTAAATTCTTTTTCTTTTCAGAATTAGAGAATGCCATTCTGTGTTACTGATCAGCTGTTGACTTTTCTCCTCTAGATGCTTTTAGGCCAGGCGTCCGATACAACTTCAGAATCTATAGAATATCTACAAAAAGAATTGCTTATTTATTAGAGAAAAAAACAGGATACTCCAAGGAGCTGGGTGAGTTTAAACTTTTAATGTGTTCCATGCCCAGACCTGTTTAGAACACTCTCCTAGCTTTGAGTTTAGGAAGATTTTAATACCTTCCCTATGTTTCAGAGTCCTGTTTATTCTGGTGTTGAAGAAAAACTTTAGACAAAATAAAATTTACCAGGGTTTAATCTGCAAGGAACAATTGGAATCACGCAGCTTCTATTTTTTTTCTATGCAGAAATGTGTCATGACTTTTCCATCGACCCAATAGAATGGGTTCGGAGGAAGTCCAGATTGCCAAGTGGTTGAATAACGTTTATAGACAGGAAAAGGAAAGCTCTATATAGAAAATGGAAGTGAGATAGAGAAACAGCTGGACTGGTTACAGCGTGGTGTCTGCCTATTTGGTGGGCTGGTGCACTGTGACTGACGGAAGCAGGGCTGCTGTGATTGACAGTGACTCAGCTATTTGTTATACGCCAGCTCCTAAATTAGATTGTGGTTTGTATGTAAAAACTCAGGTTTGCAAGTACAGAGGCTTTCTCAGGCCACTATGGTTTAACACTTTTAAACAATTATTTTATTTTTTTATTTTTTAAGAGAGATTTTTGCTATCGGGCACATGTGCTTGCCAGAGAGGCAGAGAGACAGATAGCGCGAAATCACCTTCCAGAGGGGATGGTCATGCCACAATCCCTTCTCCTCCATTTTCCTCTTGGGATCTTGGGCACGCACGCACACGCACCCAGTGTGAATTAAAAGCCGCTGGGTCCAAGATGAGAACTGCCGTCGACTGCGTGGGAGTCCAGTGACATAGCCATTAACCATCTGCTGGTCCCAAAGAGATATTTTTAATCATACAAATGTAGGACATTTTCATTAAAGGCAATTTATAAAGTGTCATACGAAAGACAAAAAACTCACTGCTAGTTTTACCACCCAAAGGCAAATATCCAGAGTTAATATTTTATGTACATCTAGGTATTCCTTCTTCTGTACCTATATACTCTTTTAAATAAAATTGAGATCTCACTCTATGCAGTTTGTAAACTGCTTTTTTGGCTCTTCACTCTGTAACCCTATCGTTTTCATTACTGTAAAGTGCCCTATTATGAGCATATGTCAAACACCTGTTGTTGAACAATTTAGAGTAGTTTTTTTGACCTATAAACTATAACATTTATCTCCAAGTATTTTATAATCCCAAATGCTAAATCTCTATTTCTTTCTTTGCCCCATCTGAACCATCATTTTACCTAAATCTTTGCCTATATCCATAATAATATTTTTCGTTTGTTGGTTTTTAGGTTTTTGCCCTTGGTTGTGTATGTTCACCAGAAAGAGACAAAGAGAGGGAAAGTGCAAAACCACTCTCACAGCAGGGATGGCCATGCCATAATCCCTTCTCCTCTTGTCTTCTCTCAGGATTTTTGGGCATGCATGCCTACATGCCTAGCATCATTTTCAAGCCACCAGGTCTAGGACTCGAACTATGTGGTCAGCCATGTGGGAATTTAGTACCTTAACGCCATGTCACTTGCTGGCCCCAGTAATCTTCTTAAAATAAAGTCCTCGAGAAGGAATATTTGAGTCAAACAGTTCGAAATCTTAAATGCTTTTTTCATTTCTTTTATCGTTTTTAAGACTTCGCATACATGTTTGCAAAATTGCCTCTTAGCAATGTTACACTCCTGTCCACCAGCAGATAGGGGATTTTGGAGCCTACTGTGGGGTTGCTGACTCAGTCTTTGGCATCCAGGGTCCAAAGGCTAAAGGCTGTGAGGCTGAGCCCTCAGTTGCCTTCACCATCAGACCAGCTCTCAGGGGTTCTTCACTTGGAGCTGGTCCAGTTCACAGTTGGCGCTGAGCCAGGCAGGAAGTGTGGTGTGGGTGTATGTATGTGTATGTGTGCTGGTGTGTGCAGATCAAGTGTGTGTGAGTGTGTGGGATAAACAGGCCTAAATAAACATTCTCGAGTTCTTCAGTAACACTTGGATGACTTTGCATTGCCACGACCTAGCGTTCTTATTTATTTATGTTTTTGGAGAGGTTTTTGCTATAGGGCATGTGTGCTCACCAGACAGACAGAGAGAGACATAGAGACGGAAAGCGAGAAATCACCCCCCAGGGGGGATGGTCACGCCGCAATCCCTTCTCCATTCTCCTCTTGGGATCTTCGGCACACATGCACACGCGCCCGGCATGAGTTTCAAACCACCAGTTCCGGGATGCGATCCACGGTCGACTACGTGGGAGTCCAGTGACATAGCCATTACGCTAACTGCTGGTTCCCGACCTAGTGTTCTTCAAATCCCTTCCTGCTTTGTTGAACATAATCTTTTGTCTTTCTCCTCTTCCTCCTCACTTTAGTTCTCTGGTTTGAGTTTTCTTTTTTTAAGGATTATTTTTATATCTGGTTTGAGTGTTCTTTTTTTAAGGATTATTTTTATATAACTCGATTTATTTATTTATTTATTTATTTTGATAACAGAAAGTGAGAAAGGAAGCCAACAGGTCTGGGACTTGAACCATTGTCGGCCATGTGAGAGTCCACCGCTCTTAACCACCATGCCCCCTTCCGGCCCCTCTAATTGGATTTTCTCTCAAACACCCCAAGTCAAGAACAGAAACAAGTCTAAGGAAGACTTTTAGTGTCTTCTTTATTTCTTTCCTTTTTTATTTTATTATTTTTATTTTTTTGGCTATGTGACCTCATGCAAGTTGTTTAGTCTCTTTGGGTGTCCATTTCTTCATCCATGACAGGCAAGGCAGATTGCAGACAAGAAGATTGCTCAACTCCTTCCCAGCTCTCCCAAACTACAGGCATAAGCCCCCAGAGAAACAGATACAACTCATTATCTTGCCATACATTCTTACCGCCTCCAGAGCTGGCTGTGATTCTACTCCTAGCCTACGTCAATGTGCTCAGACTATTTCCAAACCATGACTCTTTTTATAGAAAATGGAAGTGAGATAGAGAAACAGCTGGACTGGTTACAGCGTGGTGTCTGCCTATTTGGTGGGCTGGTGCACTGTGACTGACGGAAGCAGGGCTGCTGTGATTGACAGTGACTCAGCTATTTGTTATACGCCAGCTCCTAAATTAGATTGTGGTTTGTATGTAAAAACTCAGGTTTGCAAGTACAGAGGCTTTCTCAGGCCACTATGGTTTAACACTTTTAAACAATTATTTTATTTTTTTATTTTTTAAGAGAGATTTTTGCTATCGGGCACATGTGCTTGCCAGAGAGGCAGAGAGACAGATAGCGCGAAATCACCTTCCAGAGGGGATGGTCATGCCACAATCCCTTCTCCTCCATTTTCCTCTTGGGATCTTGGGCACGCACGCACACGCACCCAGTGTGAATTAAAAGCCGCTGGGTCCAAGATGAGAACTGCCGTCGACTGCGTGGGAGTCCAGTGACATAGCCATTAACCATCTGCTGGTCCCAAAGAGATATTTTTAATCATACAAATGTAGGACATTTTCATTAAAGGCAATTTATAAAGTGTCATACGAAAGACAAAAAACTCACTGCTAGTTTTACCACCCAAAGGCAAATATCCAGAGTTAATATTTTATGTACATCTAGGTATTCCTTCTTCTGTACCTATATACTCTTTTAAATAAAATTGAGATCTCACTCTATGCAGTTTGTAAACTGCTTTTTTGGCTCTTCACTCTGTAACCCTATCGTTTTCATTACTGTAAAGTGCCCTATTATGAGCATATGTCAAACACCTGTTGTTGAACAATTTAGAGTAGTTTTTTTGACCTATAAACTATAACATTTATCTCCAAGTATTTTATAATCCCAAATGCTAAATCTCTATTTCTTTCTTTGCCCCATCTGAACCATCATTTTACCTAAATCTTTGCCTATATCCATAATAATATTTTTCGTTTGTTGGTTTTTAGGTTTTTGCCCTTGGTTGTGTATGTTCACCAGAAAGAGACAAAGAGAGGGAAAGTGCAAAACCACTCTCACAGCAGGGATGGCCATGCCATAATCCCTTCTCCTCTTGTCTTCTCTCAGGATTTTTGGGCATGCATGCCTACATGCCTAGCATCATTTTCAAGCCACCAGGTCTAGGACTCGAACTATGTGGTCAGCCATGTGGGAATTTAGTACCTTAACGCCATGTCACTTGCTGGCCCCAGTAATCTTCTTAAAATAAAGTCCTCGAGAAGGAATATTTGAGTCAAACAGTTCGAAATCTTAAATGCTTTTTTCATTTCTTTTATCGTTTTTAAGACTTCGCATACATGTTTGCAAAATTGCCTCTTAGCAATGTTACACTCCTGTCCACCAGCAGATAGGGGATTTTGGAGCCTACTGTGGGGTTGCTGACTCAGTCTTTGGCATCCAGGGTCCAAAGGCTAAAGGCTGTGAGGCTGAGCCCTCAGTTGCCTTCACCATCAGACCAGCTCTCAGGGGTTCTTCACTTGGAGCTGGTCCAGTTCACAGTTGGCGCTGAGCCAGGCAGGAAGTGTGGTGTGGGTGTATGTATGTGTATGTGTGCTGGTGTGTGCAGATCAAGTGTGTGTGAGTGTGTGGGATAAACAGGCCTAAATAAACATTCTCGAGTTCTTCAGTAACACTTGGATGACTTTGCATTGCCACGACCTAGCGTTCTTATTTATTTATGTTTTTGGAGAGGTTTTTGCTATAGGGCATGTGTGCTCACCAGACAGACAGAGAGAGACATAGAGACGGAAAGCAAGAAATCACCTCCCAGGGGGGATGGTCACGCTGCAATCTCTTCTCCTCTCGGGATCTTGGGCACACATGCACACGCGCCCGGCATGAGTTTCAAACCACCAGTTCCGGGATGCGATCCACGGTCGACTACGTGGGAGTCCAGTGACATAGCCATTACGCTAACTGCTGGTTCCCGACCTAGTGTTCTTCAAATCCCTTCCTGCTTTGTTGAACATAATCTTTTGTCTTTCTCCTCTTCCTCCTCACTTTAGTTCTCTGGTTTGAGTTTTCTTTTTTTAAGGATTATTTTTATATAACTCTATTTATTTATTTATTTATTTATTTTGATTTGACCAGAGAGGGACAGAGCAAGAGAGAGAAAGAGAGAGAAAAACAGAAAGTGAGAAAGGAAGCCAACAGGTCTGGGACTTGAACCATTGTCGGCCATGTGAGAGTCCACCGCTCTTAACCACCATGCCCCCTTCCGGCCCCTCTAATTGGATTTTCTCTCAAACACCCCAAGTCAAGAACAGAAACAAGTCTAAGGAAGACTTTTAGTGTCTTCTTTATTTCTTTCCTTTTTTATTTTATTATTTTTATTTTTTTGGCTATGTGACCTCATGCAAGTTGTTTAGTCTCTTTGGGTGTCCATTTCTTCATCCATGACAGGCAAGGCAGATTGCAGACAAGAAGATTGCTCAACTCCTTCCCAGCTCTCCCAAACTACAGGCATAAGCCCCCAGAGAAACAGATACAACTCATTATCTTGCCATACATTCTTACCGCCTCCAGAGCTGGCTGTGATTCTACTCCTAGCCTACGTCAATGTGCTCAGACTATTTCCAAACCATGACTCTTTTGTTTCCCGACTTTCTTTCCTAGTTCCTTCAACCAAGCCTCAAGTGGTCATGAATAACTTGACACCCCACTCCTTCACTCTGAGTTGGGAGAATTATCCCACGGAATCCCAGCCTGGTTTTATACAAGGATACCATGTCTATTTGAAATCCAAGGCAAGGCAGTGCCACCCAGGATTTGAAAAGGCAAATCTTCCAGGTGAAACTTATTTTTCTATGTGTATTTCTTTAAGATCTTATTCAAAATCATTGAAAATGCTGCCATCGCTGACTGTGGCCAGATTTCTCTTCTTGAGTGATTGTATCATCAAAAGGTGTTGAAAGCCTAGCTTTTTGGCACAGTGGAAGCACAGTGCTCTGCTCTGCTGGAAGCCAGGTGAAGACTGGGATTCTGTCCCCCAGTTTGACCTGTACACACCTGGCACAAGCACTTGCGTGTATGATCCTAGCTGGCTGGGAGGCTAGTTGGGGGGATCACAGCATGAGACCTGTTGAGGTGCTTGTCTTCCTCTTTCTGTTTACCATATATATATACACACACACACTTAAAATGTTCTTAAACAATTTAATAATTTAATAGGGTAAACAGATTATAGGGAGCCAATATTTTAATTTATAGTGTGATTTGGTGTTTTTAGAAGTATTAAAGGCATTATCTTCAACTCCTTAAGAAAACCTGCCACTTACAAAATTTTCTTGCCCCTTTTTCTTTTCTTTGACTTCGTTAAATGTTATGTGGAACCAGGTGGTATAGTGGTCATGCAACTGGATCCACATGAGAAAAATCCTGGGTTCACATCCCAGGACCTCCCTGTGCCTTCCAGGTATACACCCATATTCATAATCAGTCAGGCTGAGGCTGCGTGTGGATCGTAGTGTGAAGACCCTTTTGGGGGTGCCTTTCTTTCCCTTTCTTTCAAAGAAGAAATAAACCCACAAACTGGTAATGAATGTTGTTACAATTATGTTTTTAAGCCTCTTAGAAGTGCCGGTAGCCTTTTACTGTTTTGTATGATCTCCCCGGATCACCAATATCTCTTGTTCTGTTGACTTTTTGCTTTTCATACCATTTCTTGAAAATTTTACAGTATCCTCAGTGTGATGAAATTATGATTTGATTTTCATTTGGTTTAAAAATGTTGACAGTGCTGAGTCAACAAGAATATCAGTGTTATTCTTACTAAAATAATTCTCTTTAAAAAAAATCATTTTTTAGAAATCACAGATGATCCATTATGTTGCAAATACAAAATCGACAACCCGGAACAAAAGAGGTTCATTGTGGAGAACCTGCAGCCAGAATCCTTCTATGAGGTGCAGGTTACTCCATACACAAGTGCCGGAGAGGGCCCTGGTGAAGCGTTCATGAAGGTTACGACGCCAGGGGAAGAGTGTGAGTTTTTCCAAATCAAAACCCTTCCCTTAGGAGCTTCTGGGAAATGAACAAATTATAGAAATTTGCCTAGGCTTTGTCTGGATCAGGAATTTTCAAACCTTTATTCTACCCCACAACACCCCCTCTTTTTGTGTGTGTGTGTGTGTGTGTGTGTGTGTGTGTGTGTGTGAAACCCCTTGATTAAAAAATGGTACACAAAACCTCACTACATAAAGCAGATGAAATGGAGCTAATCTGATTGCTCATGGCCTGGAACCTTCCTCTTGCCTCCCTCAGTAGCCCCTGAAGCATTTCTCTGAAAGTCTGTCTCAAAATGGAAAATCACAGATGGCATTTACTGTTGACATCAGAAGAGCCACAGGGCTTCTGTCTAGGGAGGGTGTGGCTTTCTCCAGAAGGCTCTCTGCAACCATCCTTGCTTCTCTTGGATTCCCTCAGTGGCAAACTGAATGCTTCCAGACTTTGATGGGGCCTCCACAGGTGTGGAGGGGACTGAGCAAGTGGGGACTTGTGCACCAACTCCATGTTTGCATTATTTGTTGGGGAAATGGTGAGGTGAACAGATCCATATTTTTGAAATGCATTATCTTTGGAAGATAGGAAAAGAAGAGACAAAAAGAATGGTAGGAATTGGTTGGTGGGAAAGACTTTCATGGTAAACCTTGGCTTTCAATGAACAGGAAGATGAGGGGAGAAAGTAGACACCATGGAGGAAGGAAGAGAAGAGAACATCTTCAGTGAGGGACTCATGAAAGGCCCATACTTCAAGGGACCCTTGAAGATATGCTTCCTTGAAAAACAAATAGACTCAGACATTTTGCCTGAAGTTACCAACTTTCCTGGGTGGAGGGTCTCTTTACTGAAGGTCTCTTTGCTGTAAGTGTTGGTACAGGCACATCAGGTAGAACTGATGACCCTGGAGTGTTCTGACCAGTGATACGGACACTCACAGCTGTAGTGGAAGATGGTGGCCCTGATTGCTAGTTCACTACTACACTGAAACATGTCCCAAAGTCACCAAGCCAAAGTCCAGAATTCCCTATCAGATTAAGACCTGAGTTGACATGTTGTTATACATTATTTAAGCACTCTTGCCATTTTGGAGCTAATTTAAAATGAATTTTAAGCTTATTTTTCTTTCAGTTTTGGAATTTATTTTGTTAGCATATAATCACACATATAAAATTATTATTATTATTATTATTTGCCAAAGAGCACATGTGCTCACCTGAGAGGAGAGAGACACAATGAGAGGGAAAGCAAGAAATGATCATCCCCCAGGAGGTATGATCACGCCACAATCCTTTCTCCTCTATTCTCCTCCTGGGACTCTGGGCACACATACACATGCACCGAGAGTGAGCTTCAAGCCACTGGATTTGGGACTTGAACTGTGGTCGGTCATCTGGGAGTCCAGTGCCATAACCAGTATGCTATCTGCTGGCCCCACATAAAATTATCTTTAAGTATATTTTCTAGTTTTCATTTATCTCTGTTATGCTAAACTTCATTAATCTTTTTTAAATTATTTAATTTTACTTCTTATAATTTTTAAATTGCTATAGGATACATGTGGTCATCAGAGAGATGAGAGAGAGAGGAGAGAGAGAGAGAAAGAAAGAAGAAAAGTAAGAAAGCAAGCCACCAGGTCGGAGACTCAAACCATGGTCAGCCATATGAGAGTCCAGTGCCTTAACCACCACATCACCTGCTATCCCCGTAAACCTCATTAACCTTGATTTGTGATTCTAATATCCATTATTAAAAAGAAAATATTTGAAATATTTATTACTTCCCTGACAGAGACCTTACTTTTTCCCCCTAAGTTGTTAGAAGGCATGTGCAGTTGGCAGAGACAGAAAAACAGAGAGAGAGAGTGTGCTGACACTGCAATCCCTTCTTCCTCTCTCTATTCTCTCAGGATTTGGAGCACACAAGTCAGTCTGATTTTCAAGCCACCAGGGCCAGGATTTGAATCTTTCAGTTGGCCATATGGGATCTAGTTCCAGTAACCACGAGGCTACAGGGCTGGCTCGGGTTTTTTTTTTTTGTTTCTCTGATAGAATATTATGTGCCTAGTATCCAATGAACTCTGTCAGATGTGTTAAATAGGAATAAGACATAATGGCATATGCTAAAATGAAGTTAGGATGATTAAACAATAAAAAAGAACAGAAATATGAAAAATTAATGTAACATTGGAACTACAGAATTGTGTATAAATGCTCATTTTATTGGTTCTTTTGAAAATAGTCCCTTCTTTTTGAAAAAAAATTTTTTTTCTTTGAGAGAGACACTTTTTGCTATAGGGTGCATGTGCTTGCTGGACAAACAGAGAGAGAAAGTGAGAAATCACACACACCCTGCCTAGGGGGGATGGCTATTCTGCAATCCCTTCTCCTCTTGGGATTTTGGGAACACATGCACATGTGCCCAGCCTGAGTTTCAAGCCAGCAAGTCCCAACTAAAACCACCATCAGCCATAGGGGAGTCCAGCTCCTCAACCACTATGCCACCTGCTGGTCCCAGTATGTTTTAACTTCTCAGGATGAGAGACTAGATTACTAAATAGAGATGAGGCACAGAGAGGAAAAGTAATTTACGTAAAGGCCTTGTAGGATGTCTATCTCAATTAGCATGTGTGTTTCTGTATTTGGACATTTGGACCCACAGTTCCTTCTGAATTGACTAGACACAATTAGTAACTAACTTTGCGATATCGAGTATAGAAGTAGGTTATATTTTAAAAGTTCCCTTTTTTAGACTAGATTCAAAATAACTGAAGTAAAGAAGAGGAAAAATAGCAATTGTTGGTGAGAATAGAAAAACTGGAACTCTCATATCTTGTTGGTAGTAATAAATTGATATAAGCAATTTTAGTATATATATATATATATATATAGCCTAAGGACTGTCCCCATAAATCCTAAAGAAATACCCAAATACTAGAATTTTCATAGCAAGCAAAACTCATGAGAGCCATAACCTGGAAATAATCTTTGCCTATCAGGTAATTATAGGATAACTGTAGTATATATTGTGTTCACAAAATAGAACATCATACAGCAACGAGAATGAACATTATATATTCACACAAAAAATGGGTGGATCTCACTCATTGGAATCAATACTAAATTAAAGAAGACAGACATGATTCTTGCCATGTGATTCCATTTATAGGATACAGAAAGAGGCAAATGCCATTTTTACTGTTAAAAGACAAGATGAAATCAGCCTTGTAGTGCCGTGTTAAGCACTGTGCATTGGAAACCTGATTATACATGGCCAACCAGTTTCAGTTCTGGTCAACCTGAAAAACTTGCCAGGCATGTGTGCACCTGCTCAAGATTCTGACAGGGTGGAGAAATGGAGGGAAAGTGTTGCAGCATTACCATGAACCATTAGAAGGTGCTTTCTCTCTCTCACTAGCATACTCACCCTCTGGCAATTAACAAGAGTGATGAAAATAGCAGTTACCTTGGGAGAGGATAGGGACTGGATGAGGATACAAAAGGGCTGATCTGGATATTGACTACATGGTGTGCTCAGTTGGTGAAAATGAATTGAAGTGCACACTTATGATCACTTTTCTGTAAGTATATATTATACTTCAATAGTAAGTTGAGCAAAACCAGTCCAAATTTTGGCCTGCTCTCAAATACATTATAAATCTGTTATACAAGCACATTTTAAAACAAATTGAAGTAGTTGGAAGTATGATCTTGAGAGCAAGGTGTTTTATAACGAGTCAGGAAGTTTCTTATCCTTCCTTGGGGTCAGTGTTAGTTTTAAGTCTCTTGTGGAGGTGCTCGCTTAGATATCCTCTTACCCTTTTGGGTCCTCTTCTTCCGAGCTCTGTGTTGCTTCGTAGCACTGACAGGCATCTACCCAGGCTGCCCCTAACCTCCGATATCATCCATACTCCTGTCCTCAATCAGACTCCTTTCCTTCTAGGGTAGCCAGATATTGGGAGTGAGGCCTGGGGAAGGTGGACCTAATAGAATCCTAACTGTAAGCCCTCAAACTTCACAGAGAAATTTGCATTTTTAAAAGAGAATGTTTACCAAGCCAGCTTAAGTATTAATTGGAGGACTTATAAGCAACAGGAATAGGAAGATTGGATTATTAAAAAAAAAAGAAAGAAAGAAAGAAAGAAAGAAAGAAAGAAAAAGAAAGCATTCAGTTGACATATCTGAGAAATAAAAATGAAATCATTATCCTAGGTTAAGACATATTCATGTAGTTTTACCTCAGACTATCTCAAAAGGGTGCACTTGTCACTTTTGGATGAGTAACAACCAACTTTAAAATGTCAGTGTCACGCTACAGCAAATCTTTTCTTTTTAAGCTCTTGCGTTTACAGGTCAGCCATGGTTTGACTGCTCTAGGCTGGGCCAAAATGGACTCCAGGCTTTAGTCAGTTCAGGTTTGTTCCATATGTCTCCACTTTGGGACTCAGGCTGAAGGAGCAGGAGCTGCTTGCCACAAACTCTTCTGATGGATTATAGAAGCACAGGAGAGCAAGCTAAACTCCAAGAGCAGTTAAAGCTCCTACTTCCTCACTTTACAACTACCCACATTTCATTGGTTAAACCAAGGCCCATGGCTGAGCCCCAGGTCAAGAGACAGGAAGGTACTTTCCACCTATGAAGACGTTTTGGCAAAGGTGGGAAAGTAGAGCCCGCATACCGGGAGCCAGGGAGGAACTGGACTCATGATCATAATCTATCGGAAAAGCTAACGATGTTAAGTCATAAAGTGTTGACAGCAAATGGCTTCCTGTGTTCATTGGTTTTTCTCCCAGTCCAGCAGCACTCATATTGAAACTTGCATAAACAGGCATGTGAGGAATAATGCATATGTACAATTAGTCTCAAGCATAAACTTATTTTTTTTTCCTTTGAGGACAAAGGACGCATTTAAAAAATTTCCCTTTTCCTTCTTCAGCCCATAAGTTGATACGTATCCTACTGCCCATGATTTTCTGCATCTTGGTCATCATGATTGCATGCTACATGAAAAGTCAGTGGTAAGTGTGCAAGGAAGGTTTTATCCAAGAAGCAAGTCAGAGAAATATCTAGAAAGGAATTTAGTAGGAGGTGATAATTTTTTTTAAAAAAGGTACTGAACAGGAAAAGGACGAAGGAGAATTAGGTGAGAATATGTCATTTATTTCACAATTTTGCTTATCAGGTCAATGCATAAGGAAAATAATAATCTTTTTTTTTTTTTTTTTAGAGAGGTTTTCGCTGTAGGGTGTGTACGTTCGCCAGCCAGACAGAGAGAGACAGAGAGACAGAAAGCGAGAAATCACCCCCCAGGGGGGATGGTCACGCCACAATCCCTTCTCCTCCGCTCTCCTCTCGGGATCTTGGGCATGCATGCACACGCACCCAGCGTGAGTTTTAAGCCACCGGGTCCGGGATGCGAACCGCAGTCTACTACATGGGAGTCCAACGACATAGCCATTACGCTAATTGCTGGTTCCCAGGAAAATAATAATCATTTAAAAGAAAGAGATTACAAAAGTTTACACTAGCAATAGCTAATATTTATATGTCATTTACTATTAGCTTGGCAGTATTCTAAATGATTTATATATGAAACTCAATACTCTCAATGATACTGCAAGTACTGTAATTACCTCTGGGTAAGCAATGAGGAAGTTAAATCATGGAAGAGTTAAATAAATAGAAGAGCACGGATTAGAATCCAGCAATCTGATTCCAGAGTCCTTGTTGATAACTATTTTTCTATATTGTAGAATTGTCTCATTTTCACTGTTTTTTCTAGGGTGAAAGAAAAGTGTTACCCTGACATTCCAGATCCTTACAAGAGCAGCATCTTGTCACTCATAAAATCCAAGGTAAACGTTGGGAATTGTATGTATACCATAATCCAGGGTAGGGGTTGTAATAATCATACCTTCCTAGACCTCTTCTGGAAAATGAGACAAAGTATTGAGCCATCAGAAAAGTCATGACATATTTTTTCCTATGGAAAAATGCATGATCACTTTTCTGACAACTGAATACAAGTCCCCTCTGCTCCCACAGACCAAAACAGGTGACTGGAGCTTGGATTTCTTCTATTAGAGAAAATTGTTCAGTTTTCAACACAGCTTCCTGGTAACCTGTGATCAGGAAGAAACATGAATAAAATTGAAACTCTAAGTGCACTTTTCACACAATATACGGTATTTTGATGCACACACGCACACACACAAACATGTTTGTGTTAACATGTGTTTGTTTTCTTTCCAGGAGAACCCTCATCTAACAATAATGAATGTCAATGACTGTATCCCAGATGCTATAGAAGTTATAAACAAGCCAGAAGGGACTAAGATACAGTTCTTAGGCACTGGGAAGTCAGTCACAGAACTGGAGTTTACTAAGCCTGCCTACCTCTACCTCCTTCCGACAGAAAAGAATTCCTCCAGTCCTAGCCCCTGCATCTGTTTCGAGAACTTTACCTATAATCAGGCAGCTTCTGATGCCGAATCTTGTGGCCATGTTCTGGAACCCCCTTTTGTCCCACCAAGTCAGCTGGGACTAGTGACCTCATCTGAAAGTTTACTAAAAACCCTAGAAAAAAGCTACATGAATTCCCTGGAAGAAATCCCAGCTGAAGAAACAAATTTAAATTATGTGTCCCAGTTGGCTTCACCCATGTCTGGAGACAAGGACAGTCTCCCAACAAATCCACAAGTGCCAGTACACTGTTCAGAGTATAAAATGCAAATGGCAGTCCCCCCATGTCTCACCGCATCTCCCCTGAGTGAGAAGAGCAGCCTCTCCTCAGTCACCCTTTTAGATCAAGATGAACATTTCCATTAGCCGACATATGCATTTCATACCTTTCTGCTGCACAGACACTAAGGGCACATAGCTGGCACTGTTCCATGCCCAGTTGCTTCTGTTCTTATTCTCAGCCAGCTACCATCATATGCAGGTTTGATTTATAGATGACCACTACAGTCTGGTCAAGTCGAAGGCCAGAGACTATGGAACTTAACATACCCACCTAGAGAAGACTTCCTCTAGAAATGGCAGGATTGACTGTAGAGATAAGCTTACCTGCTACACTAAAGGCTCATCTTTAGAACAGTAGACTTAAATGGGATGTAGAATAGTTATTAGCAACTCCACAGGCCCCACCCACTCGGTACTGGGCAGGGTGGCTGTGGTCTCAGTTGTTAGCGAGAAAGTATTTCCATTAAAAGATACCCCAGATATCCAAAGGGGAAAGTAATCAGATTGAAGGCTTTAATAAAGGCCGTCTATTTATTATTACAGTATTCATTGTCAACGTAAATTTGTGTTTAATTAAGTCACAGATGTTTAAGACCAAAATGAAGTTTTGACTTACCTTGAAGTGCTAAGAATTTGTAGGTCATTGACACAGTAAAATAAACTCTCTTGGAGGCATAGGCATGATCAAGTAGGTAAGATGTATGAATGAATCAGTATCTCCACAATTCCTTGTAGACACAATAAATGGAAGTTTATTACAGCACAAAAAAAAAAAAAAAGAAGAAAGAAAGAAAGAAAGAAAGAAATTGGCAACAAACTTCTTTCTCAGTGTCAAGATAACATCACTCCTGCTTAGTATAGACACCAGTCTTCGACCATGGAAGTATTCTGACAACTACCTCAAAATAGAAGAAGAAAAACATATCATTGAGTAATTCCATTCACACCTTATGGTCCTTTTTTTTTTTTTTTAAAGAACTATAAGTAAAAGTTCTATTTTCACGTAGCATCCTTTGACTTAATAGGTTGTCTGGGTCAAGAAAATACTGTGTCATTCATAGTCCTATAATGATAAAATACTAAAAATAAAACCTCATCATTGGACAGCATTTACAACTACAAGATGTACAAAATGGGAAGTTCTGTGTGGGCTTTGGAGCAACTTTGTCTCCTTTGAACCAAAGCACCTGGGACATAACAGGTGCTCAGCATCTGCTATGAACCTTATCCTCCCTCTACCCATCAACCCCCAGTGTTTGTCATATTTCTAAACAAGCACAGAGAAATGTTTCTTTTTTTGTTGGTGCTGTCAAGTGTGGTAGAAATGACTGTTCATACCTGTTACCAAGTGCCCTGCATTCAACCCTAGAGAAAAATATCCACAAAAAAATCCATGTCTCAAAACAATCTACTATCAACTGGCCTAAATATAGCTACCCAAACCAGTACTTCTGTTCAACTTTTTCCTTTTGCTGGAAAAATTGATTATGTGCCCCTGACCCAGTATAAAACAGTATCTTGATTACAAAACAGTCCAATAGCGGTGAGAAGACTTGGGGGTTGGTATGGTCATTATTTACCCTATATATTTATGTTCTTTTGTCATGATGCAATTATATCTTTCATTTGAAACTTGTACACAAAAATGTCAATGACGTTGATGACACATTCATACAGATTTTGTTTAAAAAATCATCCATAGCAAAGCTGAGCTAAGATGCTGTGCTCCACAGGCTGGGTCTACATGGGAGGCCTAAGTTCAATTCCTGGTCCAACCTGGAAAGCTGGAGGTATCTGTAGTCCCAGCGACCCAGGAGGCTGAGGCAGGAGGACTGTAAACTTAAGCTCAAGACTGACCTAGCAACAAAGGGAGACACTGTCTAAAAAGAGTTGAGCACTGGCAACGCACTTGTAGTCTCAGCTGGAGGGCCAAGGTGAGAGAACGGCCAATGCAAGAACCTGTCTTTAAGGAAAAAACAAACAAAATAGACCATGGGGCCAGTAGGTGGTGTGGTGGTTAAGGTATTGGACTCCCACATGACAGTTCGAGTCCCGGGACCTTGTGGCTTGAAAATCACCACTGGGTGCATGTGTGTGCATGCCCCAAATCCCAGGAGAATGGAGAAAGGAGAAAGGATTGCAGCAAGTCCATTTCTGCAGGGGGTGATTTCTCACTTTACGTCTCTCTCTCTACTGTGAATGCGCAAGCAAAAACCTTAAGAACAAAACATCCACAAAACCTTGCAGCTTTTTTTTTTGCTATTGCAATAAGCTTTAATTAAAATATTTACCTTCACAATTTTTGTGTTTTTGCCTACCTTAGTGAAATAAAAGTCTAACAATTACTCAGGATTGCTGCT